AAAGAATCCACACGATTCTTCCAAAGACTCTTATGAGGTTTAGGGTTTATAATAAGAGCGTTCTTAGCACCTAGATGAGAACCCCAAAGGGTCTGTGAAGAAGTCCCTGAGGTTTATAGGGAAACCACCCTGTGTTCTGAATATCGGTTGTAGAACCCTTTCAGTTCTATTGCAATACCGCAAAATCCCCGTTCATTCGTCTATTGAACCTCCCATGCATGGCTATCGACCTGCGCCGTCACATCTGCTGCGCAAACACAGTACTTGATACACCTTAAAATGTATTACCTTCCTCTTTACTCTGAGCAATCAGCCTGCAAGTCTCCAGTCAGGAACAACCAGCCCGCAACCAGCCCATGCGATCAGCCCGCAACCAGCCCGCATTCAGTCTGCGATCAGCCCGCAATTAGCCTGCAGGAACGCTTTCCATTCGGCCGCGTCACTTGCCTTACACATCCAAGCCAAAGAACTCCAGGAGCCAAATATGAACACATTTTTAGCTTTAGCAAGTGGATGTTTTCACAAACACTGTATGTTTGCGCTATCGCCCATGTCAGCAGCCAGGTGGCGATATCGCATTCTCCCAAATCACATACAGTTTCTCCTTCCACCACCAGCCTCAAGCCAGCGTTTTCGACGATGTCGACGTCTCCGCGCGGCGCGCGCCAGGACGCTCTCCTCAGACTCCAGGGCCTCAATCAGAGCGGAGATGGCCTCGTCCCCTAGAATGAAGAGTCGGGCGGATGCGTTATTCAACAGGCAGGGAGTAAAGAAACTTAGATTGACTTCAGAGACCATGAGCCTACTCCAAAAATAAAATAATGCACTTGACATAAAGTGCAGTATAGATAAAATATTGCACTAATCAGCACGAACATATGTTTATTAAAATCAGCCAAATTTATACCTAAATCAATTGACCCCAAAATGGCAAGCTGATTCTATTCCTGGTTTATCTTCATTTGGAAGATTTGTCTAAATACCACATGCATAATTTAAGCTATGGGGCATTTATACAACATATAAATACTTACTGCATTGATTGGTCTTGCATATGAATTGTCTTCATCCAATGCATTCATCCATGCATTTGAAGAGCGTTGTGATATTGCTTATTATGGTCAATCACAAGTAATATGAATAATACACAACACTTGACTAGCAAAAAATTAACCTTATTTCAGTTCTTCAATATTTGATTACTTGCCATTCACCCAATCTTGCACCAGCCGCTCGTCACTGCACAAAGCGTGATCCAACGCGATCGAAAAATGGCGATCGCTTCCGGTGGACGCTAGAACGTGGTACCGCGGGCGTGGTCCTGATGAAAGCCATTACACTGATTAAACCACAACCCCTTCTTCTTAAACCCGATGCTAGTTCGTGCAAAACCTTCAAAGGGTTTATCTTTCGCGCGCTTGGTGTGACGTAATATCACGTGACTAGGGAGAACGAAGAAGAACCGGTGTTGGTCGAGTTGAAGCCCCCCTAGGGCCACTAAGATTGCACGCGAAGAAGCAGCACGTGTCTTCGGTCTATGTGAAACACTGTGTGTGTTCTTCATGAACCAGACGTTCTGTTTCGCCTCTAAGCCAGTTTACCCTAATACCCAAAAAACCTAAGTGTGGAATATTTTAAGATGCTTTTGCATAACGTTCTTTCAACTTGTTTTCAGTGTTCTTCAAATTTTGAGTACCCCAGTGCGAAATTCGCCCCGACGGGTTGTCGGTCGTACCCCAACCACATTTCACACCACTATGAACAATAAATGCACACACTGAAATCGCTATTACCGATATGCTCATCCAATCAAGTTTCGATAAACCCGTTCATCAGCATCTCCTGCGGTTTCGAACACGCCTGTTAGGTGGTGCGGTAGACCGCGCCCAAAGCCAGGGCCCCGGTAACGTGAGGTAGCCGAGTCGGGGCAGCGTGCGCTGACCCAAGCCGGGGCCGCGCGTCCTCCCGGTGTCATGTGATAGCCCGGGGCTGCCCGCGGGGATGCGGTAGACCGCGCCCAAAGCTGCGGCCCTGGCTTGGGTCAGCGCACGCTGCCCCGACTCGGCTACCTCACGTTACCGGGGCCCTGGCTTTGGGCGCGGCTTCTGCTCATACTTTGTGGTGCGGTGGTGGTGCGTCGGGCCGCGCGCTCTGACTTCGGCCAAGAAAAATGCGTCAGCTGATCATTGTCATTTCTGCCACTTGCGTGTGGTGAAATGGGGTCATAACTTAAGAGACGGCTTTTTCATATCAATTATTTTACATAAAATCACATTTCAAACCATAAATAATGTTCGACAGCCAAATAAAAGAAACAATACCAATACAGGCTTACAGTTTACGGCTCGACATTGTGTTGTCTACGATTAGACAGCTGATAACTCATTCCCGTACGTCGTAACTCTATAATGACCTTTGCTTATTGTCACATGTGCGCCGCATTCGCGATTGTTGCCGACGCCTGTTTGCAGGCCAGCCCACTACAGTTGTTATACATATCGAAAAACCGATAAACTTTTAGGCAAAAAAAGGCACTATTCCAGGCCCATTTTTGATTTTTTTTGCGATATTAGGTAAAAACAGAAGCTTCTTATCCTAGGAAAAATAAAATGGGAAATCTTTCAAAGGTGGCACACTACCTTTAAGATTAGTAAAACCCTACATTACTTTAGCGGTGGGCTGTACCTAGAGCAGTGGTCGGCAGGTCACTCGGGGTTGTACCCCCTTTTTAGGCGCCAGGCAGGGCCATTACCCCCACCTACCAGACCCCATTGCTGTCACAACCAAGTTTACTGAAATTCCATACCTTTCTGGAACTCTTTGGGTATTTCTGCATTTCCAATGCATCAAATTTAAAACATAACACTTCCTCCACAAAGCATTTAGTATATCCCATTTAACCCTCGTACATATAGGGGTGGCGGGTGGTTTTTCGTTAAAACTCACGTAAAAGCCGTTGGATCACGACCAAATTGTACCCTCGAGCCAAACATTTTTTTTTCTTAACCTGCCCGGGAATTCCTGAGGCCAGTTTCACCAACAGAAAAATTGCCGCCTGCCGGAGTTTTTGCCTAAAAACCGCTTCACATACGGAGCATAAGCGCGATGAGCATGTAAGTGGATAGGGTTTTACCGTTTACGTTTACGTTTACGTAATCATTGGCTTCACATACGGAGCGTAAGCGCGATGAGCATGTAAGTGGATAGGGCTTCAACGTTTACGCTCCGTATGTGAAGCGGTCTCAAGGCGAAAAATTCCGGCAGGCAGCTATTTTTCTGTCGGTAAAACTGGCCTCTGGACCCATTATGATCATTGGCTTATAAGCTTTTCTGGAGGTAATCTTGAGCCATAAAATCTCACTTCAAGAAGTTATAGCGGGTCCCGATTTTCTCGACACTTGTCTTTGACCTCCAGAATGAGACGAAATGACCAAGGACCTTAACCCTATTCCTGGCGGGCTCCGCCGGGACAAGAAACTGGCGGGGGGGGGGGCCGATTCGGCCCCCCTTCAGATCTCAAAAACTACACATCGCAGCGACAAACGGTAAACGGCATCGGATACGCACGGTCAAGATCTACAATTTTTACTAAGGTCATTTTCAGGTCAGGTCAAAGATGACGTCACAGGGGTCGAAAAAGTCAAAATTGCGGCGCTAGATATGGAGAGAGTTTTTCTCGAATAACTTTCGAATTAGTCAAGAAAGGAACAAACTAAGGGCATCATCGTGATCCTCTCGTCAATCCGCATCGAATGATATATATATGTTGACCTCGAAAGGTCAAGGTCAAAGGTTGACCTCAGGTCACGTGACCTCGAGGTCATCATGTACATCATTCGATGCGTCTTGACGAGCTGAACAATGAGACCATCCGCGCGGCTGTATCTTGTTCCTGAACGGAGTTATTGGCAAAAAACCGCTGGTGACCTTTGATGACGTCACATGACCTTACAGCTGCCCAACAGCAAAACAGACCTCAAGGTAGTGAAGGTTGATCGTATATGAAGTCATGTATGGTATATGGGGCCATTCCGACCCGTTTTAGTGGTAAAAACAGGGAGTTGATTTTTCCCCTATTGACTTATAATGGGGAGGTCGCGAAACTGACCTGACCTTAGGTCACCGATATCAAAATTCCGAGATATACAAATTACACATACTGCTACCCTAACTAAAGCCTGAAGAGAAGAAATTGATCGGTCAAAAACTCTAGCTCTGGCGTGATTGCAAACTTTTCTGAGGTAGGGTCACCAAACCGCCTCTGGTGACCTGACCTGAGGTCAGATCAACTCAAAATTTTCAGACATGTTGCGTAGAAGCCTTTTAGGAAAAGTCAGAAAATTTGAGCTTCCTAGCTCAACGCGTTTGGGAGAAATAACCAAAAAACCTCAGGGGGGGGGGGGGCTCCTGAGGCCCCCCGCCAGGAATAGGGTTAAAAATGGGCAGCAGCGGCTTCCTATAGTCACGGGTAATACGCTCGTTTTTTATGTACAACTCCATCTCAGAGTCGGAGAGGCCGCGGGGGTCCGATCGACTCCTCCCCCTTACGTTAGCGGCTGTGGAAACGCCAACAGACGGGCGACGGTTAAAAATTGCAGCTGCTTTTGTACGACTGTACGGAACCGCGGTGAGATGGTGAGGCTACGTGAAAATTGGTAAAAAATTGGTAAGCGAGCAGCTACGTGAAAATTGGTATCTTAACAATGTGTGCTGTGCCTTTGACCTAGGCTAATCTTTGAACCCTGGGATGCAACAGTCACGATGGTTCCATCAATGGAGCCCCTAACTCTAAAAAGATAGGTTTTCTCATAATCCCTCATTACCCCCACCGAAAGGGCTCCATTACCCCCAAAGGGGGCATGCCCCACCATTTGCCGACCCCTGACCTAGAGCAAGGATTAGAGGCAGCTTCATCATAATGGCAGTAAATTAGACCTGGTTTCACTTTAGCGTACTCGAATGAATATAGTGCAGTTTGCAAGTTTGTTTTTTAACATGGGAGCAGATTTTGACATTTCATTGCATTTCTATCGATGAATTTTCATTTTTGACCATCATGGAAACACCACTTGAATCATATTCGGCCCATAGGCGCGGGAATAAGAGCAGAGTGGAAGAGCAATGAGAGGACCTTCGGAGATTCGGAGATGCTGTGTGGACGAGGAAATGCAGTCAGCTGATGTTGGAATTCGCAATATTAATTAAATAAAAACTTCTTTATTCCTTTGGTCGCAAACAATTGAACCGACACATAACTAAATTTCCCGACAAAATGGTCGCCAAAGGAGCCAATGGGCATCAGGAGTCAACATGGCGTGCTATGACCTTGCGAAAATTATTCCGCGCCACGAAAAAACAACTTCGGGCGGGGACGCCATTTGCCGCGAAAGCGCTAGATATGTCACGGCATGTTGGGAGATACGCGAAATGGGAATTGGGACTTCGTTATTAGTGTTTGGAATAATTAACCAAGTACGAGTCATCCTCAAACATACTGATTATCAATGGTGCCCGTTTTTAACATATCAGGCTTTAAATGCTGGTAAGTTTTTAAAGGATCTGGTTGGTTGATTGTTATTGCACACCATTTTTAATGTGTATAAGAGTGCCTGTGGCTTTTTCAGCAATTTCCTTTTTTCCTGATTTGTTGGATGTGCTCCAAAATCATTAGTTAGCTTGGGTATGGTGGGGTAAAGTTGTTACAAAGGGCAATGAGGGTGGAAGTTGGTTGATGAGACCATGCCAGAAAATGTTAGCTATGCTTCAAGCCATGCATTTTGATTTACGCATGCTGATGGTCATCCTGCAACCGACCTCGTAAAAGGGTGTTAATTGAAATTGTGATTGATGCTGTTTTCCTCCCAATTGGCAATTGGTTGCATTTTATATCCAAATGGTTTGTTATTTACATTTTCATTAGTGCATATCTTTGTTTATTATGGAGAGAGCAAAGCGAGCAGTCATTCCTAGATTAACAAAATTTCTGAGCATGAGCGGCCGGCGGGCCGTGAGGACGCTATTGAGAGGCTTATATCTCAGCAACCACTTGACCGAGTTGCATGCAGTACCGTAAACCGGGGTGACTTTGTATCACTTTTGACCAGTTTGGTACAATATCTTGTATATCACTTGAGATTTCACTCTGGAAACTGTTTCATCATACCAATTGGACAATTCTCTATCTAACTGAGTACAATAAATGGCTTGAAATTTATCATAAATATTTTATTTTTTTACCAAAAAATTGATCATTCTCACCCAGACGTCGGGGTGACTATGATCACTATATTAAAATCACCTTATGTGTGCCATAGGAGCCCTCAGAAGGGGCTTGTGTGATAAAATTACATGTTTTGAATAAAATCAAAGGCTTTGCTTGACAAAAACTCACACATTTTACAGTAAAACTATGCATCATTGAGGTATTAAAATAAAGTTGCATGCTCTGGTTCTAAACTGACATTACAGAGCTATAAGCAGCAAAATTAGCTACTTTAACCTCTGACTTCAAGATTAAGTAACAGTCACAGATGTCCTAAGCCACAGGCTACCTGTTCTACATCACACTTTGTCTGCTGGTGGCTGTGGGACCACTTGCCACACTGTTCATGCCCCTCCCAGCTGATTGTCTTTTTCACTTCCCATTGACGCTCCAATTACCACTGAGATAGAGCAGCTCAATGCTCATCCTCCATTATCAGTATCTAAGCCTTTCCTTTCTCTTTCTTTATCTGGGTCTTTCTCATCTTTACCATTATTTTTGCTGGAGATGCTAGCGAATTTATACTTCATGCCAATGACAACAAAAAAACAAGCTGTGACATGAACATGATTATTCTAACTGGGACCCAAAGTGTCTGATATAATGCTTCATTGCTTAATTTAACTATTGGCATAGAAAATACAGTTCACAGCAGCTAATTGCTCATTTGAGGCCCAAAATTGGTCTATGATCAAAGTCACCCCGGGTATCATTGTCACCCCGGTTTACGGTAGTATTTTTAGGGTTGGTTCATTCCTTCTACCAAGTATTGGACTATTTGCGTCTTGCGATGCATGTGGGTGACCCTGGTCCTTATGCACGTTTATGCACGTGCCATGTGCAACTGTGTCCCAAAATTAGAATTTGCGTTTGGTGTCAGAGGGGAAAATTCCTCAACAAAAAAAGGATAAGAGTGGAAAATTAATGGCAAGGCCAAAAAGGAGCGGAAAGGGTTCAAAAGTATAAATTTCCGCACACATTTTGTAGGGTGCAGGATGCAGATCGACCATTTACGCAGTTGCTTTTTCCTTGGTAGAACTTGGAGTGGAAAATGGTCCAAAAAAGGTTGGAGGTGAGAGTTAAAAATGATTTTCATTTTGATGTTGTTTCCCACCCAAATCGACTAGTTTTGAGACACTGACGTGCAAAACGAAGAGGTGTCAGTTTTGTAACAATTACAATATCTCGGTCATTACTGGGCTGATTGCACTGAAAGTTGGCATGTAGGTAGGCACCCACTAGGCAATGCATATCCATGTGCCAGAGTTGGGGTGCTGCTGCACCATGCACGTGTGTGCGTTCAAGGGGCAATTCCAGATCTGGAGAATGGCTGGACCTATTGCGCTCTAATTTGGTACGCAGTTAGGGACCAAAGTTAGAAGGGTGCCATGCACAAGTCTGTTGGGACCTATTTTGCACATGCGCACGTGCAGGGTGCTGCTTCCAGATCTTGAGAACGGCTGGGCCGATTGTGCTCAAATTTGGCAAATCGCTAGAGACCGGTTAGTAGGGTGTCGTGCAGAAGTCAGTTGGAGGTACCGTACCCCCTCGGAATTTCGCACGCACGAGGCTCATACTCTCGCTCGCTCCGTTAGTCGCCCCAAAAGGGGTTTTACTGGTAGGTAGGGACCTACCTAGGTACTTAACCCATTTGCTTGAACTTCCTCATGTGGGAGAACTGAAGCTATGACTGTTATCTTTGACCATAGGTAGGTACTTTACTATTTAAATTGAGCATCTGCATCTGGGAGATCTGGGCCCTGTTTCACCAGTGATAGCAGCACGCTGCTATTACATGTGTCAATTTGGTTTCCATGGAAACATCAATGAACCATGACGTCAATCTGTGTGATGTCATCAAATAGTGCTGCTAACATCTTCATTCTTCACGGCCTTGCGATTAAACAAATGTGTCAAACACATTCAACGAGATTGCACCTCTGTTCCAAACGCAGCTATGGAAAAGCTCACGGATTATACGAAGCATCATTAGTGTGACGTCATCACATTACGTCATTACGTCATTACGTAGCACATATTAACATCATATTTTTATAGGTGATGCAAGCAAATGGCATGGTCAGCCACTCAACAGCCGGCAAAGCAGAGCCAGTGAGGCCAGCAGCCCCGCTATGTATCCCCGTGGTGGGCAAAGTGCAGCTGAGCTCGCGTCTGCAGCAGCTGCTGCAGCGGAGCAACGACTTGGACCGTCTGCAGGCGTCGCTGGCCGGCGGCGGCGGAGGCGGCGACTGTCCGCCGCTGGCTGCCGCCAACGGCCAGCGACGGCCGCTGCCGCCGGTGGCCGCCGCGCCGCCGCACCTGGTGAGCGCCATCGGTGACGGCCTGGTGTTGAAGACGGCCTCGCAGCACCCGGCCGGAGCCCGCTCGCCGGCCGTGACTGTCAGCGCGAGCAGCCACCAGAAGATCCTGCCAAAGCCGGTTCTGCAGTCAGCCGCGGCTGCCGATCCTCCCAACTATAAAGTGGAGAAGGTGAAAAACAGACACAAGGGCGCGAAGGCGGCGGGGGCGGCAAAGGCTCGGTCCGACTCTGCGCCGCCCAAGTTTAAGGTGCGTCCGTCGATCAGCGTCCCGGCGGAGGCGCGGCCAGATAACCGGCGCGGCGGCACCGGCGCTCCGGGTGCGCGGTCGCGGGCGAGGCCGTCCTCTCTGCCGACACCGGCGGCGGCCCGTCTGCCGAGGCTGCCGGCCGAGCTGCGGGCCTACCAGCTGCTCTCGGAGCAGGAGGAAGCGGCGCGGCGGCCGCTGCTGCCGGCGCCGGCCGCCGGCTCCGAGCCCGAGTCGAGCGACTGGGAGCCGGCGCCGGCGGCGGCGGAGCGGTACCGCGAGCGGCGTCGCTTCTCGCGCTGCCGCCGCCTGCTGGTGGAGCAGATGCGCAGCAGCGGCGGTGCGGCGGCGGCGCGCCTGTGCGGCCGCCTGCTCCGGCCGCCGCCGGGCGCCGCCGACACTGAGCGCGGCCGCCGCCTGCGCGCCCGCCAGCGGCTGGAGGCGCGCCGGCTGCTGGCCGCGCTGGACGAGGCGCGCCACCGGCGCCGCCAGCGGCACGAGCGGGCGCGGCTGACGTCGCTGCTGCTGGGCGCGGCGGCGGCCTACCCGAGCCGCACCGGCCAGCTGCTGCTCCAGCCGCAGCGGCCGGCCGACTCGCACACCAGGTGAGCGGGCGCACCGGCCGCCCCACAGCAGCCGCATCGCTCTTCATCTACATTATAATATAAATGCTTTAAAAGCAAACTATGTAGTCTCAATATTACTTATGTCTATATGTAAGATGTACATTTGGTTCGGCAACATTTGTTTATTCACAGCATCTAGTTTTAATGGGTTGAAACGTTTTTAAAGGATTTTTTTTCATGGTAATGAGTGCATCAAGTGTGATTGATAACTTGCTCGTATCTGAATTAAACTGAAAACAGTAATGCAAATTGATTTTTATTATTAGTTCCCTGCTGAATATGAGTAAAAGGTTGATAATCACCATATTGTTATTTTCACAACATAAATTTTTCAAAGGAACCATTCGATTCATGTTATTTGCGTGAAGGGTTTGCTACCTCCCGCTTTTGCCCTATTTTGGTTCACTTTATCGACTCGCTATTTTTTCACAGTTGCAACTTAGCAAATGTTCGATGCTGGACAATTGGACAGTCCCGACTCACGGTTGCCAGTATGGCTCCGTGTTAGTTTGGTAGCCCGGAATAAGTGTTAATGGCTCCGTGTTAGTTTGGTAGCCCGGGATAATTGCTAATGGCTCGGTGTTAGTTTGGTAGCCCGGAGCCGGTGTCTGAGGCCGTCTGCGGTTTGTGCCACAGACTGTGCGGCGGCGGTGGCCGGTCGGCGCAGCTGGCCCGGCGCCGCTGCTGCCACCGCGGCGCCGGCGGCGCCTGCGCGCGCACCGCGCTGCCCTGCACGCGACACTGCCGACAGCACGTCCTCTACAACGTCGACCAGCTGCTTTTTCAGGTGGGTGCCGACTGCCGACTGACGAGCGCCGGCTCACCGGCGGTCGCAGTGACTGCGCTCTGCACGCGGTATCGGCGGCGATCGCTACCGTGTCAGAGGGCCAGTAGGGGATAGACGTACCGCAGATAACACCAATCGAGACTCTGCGCGGTGCAGCCCGGACTTTGCGTACAACTGTGATTCTGGGACCTTCACTGACTTCAGTCCTGCTGGGGCTCACCCCCCCCCCCCCCCCACTACCACCACCACCACCGTCACTATGTGCAGTGGTAGCTTAGGTCCTCTTCTTCTTCTTTTTTTTTCAGCACTGTACGGCGAAGTTTTCAGACAACACGCAGTGTTGTGTACCTGTCTTTGACATCAAACATGAACTACCTCTCTGTGAAGAACATGCAAGGAAACGGGTAAGTTGTCCGTTATGCTTCACGTGACCCTGGAAATGCTACTAAGTTTGCTGGCTGTGTTGTTTCTACGATTGCCATGCAATTTCTAGGCTATGCATGCTGTACGAATTGACTACAAATAAATAGCCTACAATTGACAGGGACCTGCCTGATCTGATGAAACTAGGCTATGGCTAGAGGAAGGTACAAGATCACACAAATGTATCATCCCACAGATGACAGTTTTTAATGTGAAAAGTTTCTATTGCTTTTTTCCTAACGGTTGTGCGTGTCGTTTAGCATTGTTGCTATTGAGATAAACTAGATTAGGTACTGTTGACAATTTGACATCATGTTTGGTTTGCACTTATTCTTATATAGTTCGTTTTTTACGGTTTTGTGACCAACGTCTCTAAGCTCCGGAATAATGGGCGCAAAATGACCTTAGTAGTCGGCGCGCCCTAAAGCCCCAATTAACAAACAACGCTCCGAAATATTTAACTCCCCACGTCAACACTAATCGGACATGTCAGCTTCAGTTTGTGATCCAATTTTGTCCTGATTTTGCCCTTGGCTCGTATCTGTTTGAATGCTAAGAATACTTAAATTGCATGCAGCTCCGCGACTACCGTTTCTTAGTTTATCGTTACATGTGCGTTTTCTTTTCAGGATAACTATGAAAAAATGGCAGGGAAAACGAGAAGTGAGCCAAAAAAGAAATCCAGGTCCATAAAGCGCCCAAAGCGGCGGAAGAAGACGAAGAAAAGGTCGCCTCCGCGCCAATCCACTCCGACCGACGTGGCGCAGCAGGGTGGCTTCGAGGACGCCGGTGAGTGCGCCACGCACCTCTGCCTGGCCTGTGGCCCGGGGATCAGGGCCAACTGTCCGTCAGTGGAGCTGTCTCGTGCAGTGAACCTGCATGTCATGGCCTAACGGTAACGAAAACTACATCCGGAGCTGGAGTAGGGGACGCAGAGTGCACACCTTCATAGGCATCAGCGTATGACAATTGACCACCATTATTCGGCTAAGGCTATGAAAAGTGCTGTAATGCACATGTAGATACTATAGTTACTGTATATAATGCTTGATGCAGAGCTAATGACTCATCAGCTGTTGGACCATGGCAGACAGGAACATTGCCATGGGCGTTCCGTTCCCGGAATGATGGTATGGAGGGCCGCGTCCACCCTGCTGTCAGTGTGGTGGTCCGCGTCCATTGTCCACCCTGCTGTCAGTGTGGAGGGCCGTGACCACCCTGCTGTCAGTGTGGAGGGCCGCGTCCGCCCCTCTCCCTGCTGTCAGTGTGGAGGGCCGCGTCCACCCTGCTGTCAGTGTGGTGGTCCGCGTCCATTGTCCACCCTGCTGTCAGTGTGGAGGGCCGCGTCCATTGTCCACCCTGCTGTCAGTGTGGAGGGCCGCGCCCACCCTGCTGTCAGTATTGAGGACTGCGTCCACCCTGCTGTCAGTATTGAGGGCCGCGTCCATCCTGCTGTCAGTGTGGAGGGCTGCGTCCACCCCCCTCCCTGCTGTCAGTGTGGAGGGCCGTGTCCGCCCTGCTGTCAGTGTGGAGGGCCGTGTCCACCCTGCTGTGAGTGTGGAGGGCTGCGTCCGCCCATATCCCTGCTGTCAGTATTGAGGGCCGCGTCCACCCTGCTGTCAGTGTGGAGGGCCGCGTCCACCCTGCTGTCAGTGTGGAGGGACGCGTCCACCCTGCTGTCAGTGTGGAGGGCTGCGTCCGCCCCTATCCCTGCTGTCAGTATTGAGGGCCGTGTCCTCCATGCTGTCAGTGTGGAGGGCCGTGTCCACCCTGCTCTCAGTGTGGAGGGCCGCGTCTACCCTGCTGTCAGTGTGGAGGCCCTCCACTGGAGGGCCGTGTCCGCCCCCTCCCTGCTGTCAGTGTGGAGGGCCGCGTCCACCCTGCTGTCAGTGTGGAGGGCCGTGTCCGCCCCTTTCCCTCTGCCCGGCGCCTTCTGACCGGCCGCGCGGTGCGGACGCGCACGCATGGGTGAAGAACCTGTCCCGGCCACCCCGGCCGTGGCTGGGGTAACTTTCAGCTTACCCCAGTGCGCCCGGGGTAACTTTCTCCCACTCTTGTTTATCCTAAAAGCTGGGGTATTTTACGATATCTCGGACCAGGACCCTCACCCTCAACTCTCAGATTTGAGTGAAAATCGGTCCTAGGGGTAATCATAGGCCCCAAAGACGTCTGGCAAAATATCAGACGCCTTAGATAAAACTTTTTGAGATATGTATTGCATAACATTTTTTTTCAAACTTCCGATTGTAAGGGTGAGTTTGATTTGCTAAGTATAACTTAACCCACGACCCCAGCTCGCCGTTTCGCCTCTAATGGAGCCAGAGCCTCGCAGAACAACGAGCTTGTGGGCCGTTAGGATGGGTACATAGCGATTGGTACCCGATTTTAAGGTCCTAGGTCAACCGGTGACCTCTGAGGTCAGGTGAAATGTTCTATGTCACGGGCTCGGTTTTAGGTGAATAACTTCGCAAAAAAATGGCCGCAGAAATGCTATTTTGGCAACATTGTGTTCGGCTAGCTCAGGCGCGTCTGATGGTATACCCTTTGTTCGGGCGAGGTCAACTTAAGTAGTTGACCTCGGATCAAGGTCAGGTCAGCTCCCCTTGGGTCACTATTTTTCAAACATTCTCCACCGATTCGCACAGGTTTCGGCGACATGGAGTCGGAGCTGATGGAGGATGAGGAGGACGAGGACGAGGAGGACGAAGACGAGGATGAGGAGGAGGAGGACGATGACCTGGATGATGAGGGGGAGGAGCGCGGCGCAGCGGCGGCCGGCGGCGGCGGCCAGCCGGGCGAGCTGGACCGCAGTCTGGAGCTCCACCTGGGCACTGTGCTGGAGAACGAGTTCTCAGAGGTGCTCAGCAAGCTGCCCGACGAGGCGTTCACCGAGCTGTTTGCCGGTGAGTGAGGGGGGGGGGGGAGAGGCGGCCGGGCGACTCGGCCGGACCCGCGCACTCCAATCGAACCAATCGTGTACGGGACCGATAAGGCGTTTCCGCCCGCGTGCGGCGTCGAATTTCTGCCCTTATTGGCACCGGCCGGTTGCCGAGCGTAACATGGTCCTCTTTAAGCCGTTTGGGGAGCCACTAGCACTTAATTTGGTGAAAAGGGCATCGTTGGACGCAGAAATAAATACCTCGCCACACGAGTCATGAGCCCGTATAACAACCCTAGCGCTCAGTGAGTCCAGTGAGTGTGAGCTCGCTCACCGTGTCTCGTTGATATGTAGACTAGCCCGCGGGGGTATGGACACACTAGCCAACTGCTCCAGCGGTCACCCGGAAAGACATGCTCAGTGCCCAATGCCTGTCAGCTGCCCTCCGGGGCGCTCCAAAATGGCAGAACAAACATTTTTAGGAAAACGCGTAATAACTGGTTTGTTGTGACGTGTGTTCGATCTGCGCTGACCGGTATACTGTGGTCTGACCGGTGTACTGTGCTGTGGCCACTGCTGTGCTCTAACCGGTGTACATGCTGTGCTCTGACCCCCTACTGTGCTCTGACTGGTGTACTGTCCTCTGACCGCTGCTGTGCTCTGACGGTGTACTGTCCTCCAGTCAATGTGCTGTGCTCTGACTGGTGTACTGTCCTCCAGTCAATGTGCTGTGCTCTGACGGTGTACTGTCCTCCAGTCAATGTGCTGTGCTGTGCTCTGACTGGTGTACTGTCCTCCAGTCAGTGTGCAGTGTTCTGACATGTGTACTGTCCTCTGACCGCTGCTGTGCTCTGACTGGTGTACTGTCCTCTAGTCAGTGTGCTGTGCTCTGACTGGTGTACTGTCCTCTAGTCAGTGTGCTGTTCTCTGACTATTGTACTGTCCTCTAGCCAGTGTGCTGTGCTCTGACTGGTGTACTGTCCTCTAGTCAGTGTGCTGTGCTCTGACTGGTGTACTGTCCTCTAGTCAGTGTGCTGTTCTCTGACTATTGTACTGTCCTCTGACCGCTGCTGTGCTCTGACGGTGTACTGTCCTCCAGTCAATGTGCTGTGTTCTGACTGGTGAACTGTCCTCCAGTCAGTTTGCTGTGCTCTGACTGGTGTACTGTCGTCAGTGTGCTGTGCTCTGACTGGTGTACTGTCCTCTAGTCAGTGTGCTGTGCCCTGACTGGTGTACTGTCCTCTAGTCAGTGTGCTGTGCTCTGACTGGTGTACTGTCCTCTAGTCAGTGTGCAGTGCTCTGACTGTTGTACTGTCCTCTGACCGCTGCTGTGCTCTGACTGGTGTACTGTCCTCCAGTCAGTGTGCTGTGCTCTGACTAGTGAACTGTCCTCCAGTCAGTTTGCTGTGCTCTGACTGGTGTACTGTCCTCTGACCGCTGCTGTGCTCTGACGGTGTACTGTCCTCTAGTCAGTGTGCTGTGCTCTGACTGGTGTACTGTCCTCTGACCGCTGCTGTGCTCTGACGGTGTACTGTCCTCCAGTCAGTGTGCTGTGCTCTGACTAGTGAACTGTCCTCCAGTCAGTTTGCTGTGCTCTGACTGGTGTACTGTCCTCTAGTCAGTGTGCTGTGCTCTGACTGGTGTACTGTCCTCTGACCGCTGCTGTGCTCTGACTGGTGTACTGTCCTCTAGTCAGTGTGCTGTGCTCTGACTGGTGTACTGTCCTCTGACCGCTGCTGTGTTCTGACAGTGTACTGTCCTCCAGTCAATGTGCTGTGCTCTGACTAGTGAACTGTCCTCCAGTCAGTTTGCTGTGCTCTGACTGGTGTAATGTCCTCTAGTCAGTGTGCTGTGCTCTGACTGGTGTACTGTCCTCTGACCGTTGCTGTGCTCTGACGGTGTACTGTCCTCCAGTCAATGTGCTGTGCTCTGACTGGTGTACTGTCCTCCAGTAATTGTGCTGTGCTCTGACTAGTGTACTGTCCTCTGACCGCTGCTGTGCTCTGACTGTTGTACTGTCCTCTAGTCAGTGTGCTGTGCTCTGACGGTGTACTGTCCTCTAGTCAGTGTGCTGTGCTCTGACTGGTGTACTGTCCTCTAGTCAGTGTGATGTGCTTTGACTGGTGTACTGTCCTCTGACCGTTGCTGTGCTCTGACGGTGTACTGTCCTCCAGTCAATGTGCTGTGCTCTGACTGGTGTACTGTCCTCCAGTAATTGTGCTGTGCTCTGACTAGTGTACTGTCCTCTGACCGCTGCTGTGCTCTGACTGTTGTACTGTCCTCTAGTCAGTGTGCTGTGCTCTGACGGTGTACTGTCCTCTAGTCAGTGTGCTGTGCTCTGACTGGTGTACTGTCCTCTAGTCAGTGTGATGTGCTTTGACTGGTGTACTGTCCTCTGACTGCCGCTGTGCTCTGACTGGTGTACGGTCCTCTAGTCAGTGTGCTGTGCTCTGACTAGTGTACTGTCCTCTAGTCAGTGTGCTGTGCTCTGACGGTGTACTGTCCTCTAGTCACTAGTCAGTGTGCTGTGCTCTGACTGGTGTACTGTCCTCTAGTCAGTGTGATGTGCTCTGACTGGTGTACTGTCCTCTGACCGCTGCTGTGCTCTGACTGGTGTACTGTTCTCTGACCGCTGCTGTGCACTGACTGGTGTACTGTCCTCTAGTCAGTGTGCTGTGCTCTGACCGCTGCTGTGCTCTGACGGTGTACTGCGCTCTGACCGCTGCTGTGCTCTGACTGGTGTACTGTCCTCTGACCGCTGCTGTGCTCTGACTGGTGTACTGTCCTCTAGTCAGTGTGCTGTGCTCTGACGGTGTACTGTCCTCTAGTCAGTGTGCTGTGCTCTGACTGTTGTACTGTCCTCTAGTCAGTGTGCTGTGCTCTGACTGGTGTACTGTCCTCTAGTCAGTGTGCTGTGCTCTGACTGTTGTACTATCCTCTAGTCAGTGTGCTGTGCTCTGACTGGTGTACTGTCCTCTAGTCAGTGTGATGTGCTCTGACTGGTGTACTGTCCTCTGACCGCTGCTGTGCTCTGACTGGTGTACTGTTCTCTGACCGCTGCTGTGCACTGACTGGTGTACTGTCCTCTAGTCAGTGTGCTGTGCTCTGACCGCTGCTGTGCTCTGACTGGTGTACTGTCCTCTGACCGCTGCTGTGCTCTGACTGGTGTACTGTCCTCTAGTCAGTGTGCTGTGCTCTGACGGTGTACTGTCCTCTAGTCAGTGTGCTGTGCTCTGACTGTTGTACTGTCCTCTAGTCAGTGTGCTGTGCTCTGACTGGTGTACTGTCCTCTAGTCAGTGTGCTGTGCTCTGACTGTTGTACTATCCTCTAGTCAGTGTGCTGTGCTCTGACTGGTGTACTGTCCTCTAGTCAGTGTGCTGTGCTCTGACTGGTGTACTGTCCTCTAGTCAGTGTGCTGTGCTCTGACTGGTGTAATGTCCTCTAGTCAGTGTGCTGTGCTCTGACTGTTGTACTGTCCTCTGACTGCCGCTGTGCTCTGACTGGTGTACTGTCCTCTAGTCAGTGTGCTGTGCTCTGACTAGTGTACTGTCCTCTAGTCAGTGTGCTGTGCTCTGACGGTGTACTGTCCTCTAGTCAGTGTGCTGTGCTCTGACTGGTGTACTGTCCTCTAGTCAGTGTGATGTGCTCTGACTGGTGTACTGTCCTCTGACTGCTGCTGTGCTCTGGCTGGTGTACTGTCCTCTATCCAGTGTGCTGTGCTCTGACTGGTGTACTGTCCTCTAGTCAGTGTGCTGTGCTCTGACTGTTGTACTGTCCTCTAGTCAGTGTGCTGTGCTCTGACGGTGTACTGCGCTCTGACTGCTGCTGTGCTCTGACGGTGTACTGTCCTCTAGTCAGCGTGCTGTGCTCTGACGGTGTACTGTCCTCTAGTCAGTGTGTTGTGCTCTGACTGGTGTACTGTCCTCTGACCGCTGGTTGTGCTCTGACTGGTATACTGTCCTCTAGTCAGTGTGCTGTGCTCTGACTGGTGTACTGTCATCTAGTCAGTGTGCTGTGCTCTGACTGGTGTACTGTCCTCTATCCAGTGTGCTGTGCTCTGACGGTGTACTGTCCTCTAGTCAGTGTGCTGTGCTCTGACTGTTGTACTGTCCTCTAGTCAGTGTGCTGTGCTCTGACTGGTGTAATGTCCTCTAGTCAGTGTGCTGTGCTCTGACTGCTGCCGTGCTGTGACCGCTGCTGTGCTCTGACGGTGTAGGTACTGTACTGTGACCGGTGTACTCTGCCGTGCTGTGACCGCTGAGCTGTGCCCGGCTGCGTTGCAGACCCGCACGCCGGCGACCTGGTGCACAAGGAGACTGAGGAGCTGGAGCGCGCGCTGGAGGCCGTGGAGCGCGAGTCGGACGCCGTGCCCGCGGCGCGGCACCACCTGCTCAACGGCAACCCCAGCCTGGGCGCGCCCGGCTCGGCCGAGATGGAGGAGAGCGTCTACACCCAGCTGGCGCAGGGCGTCAGCCTCGAGAACGCCATCAGCAACGTGCTCAACGGCCAGGAGATGAACACGCTGAACCAGCTGCTGACGCACCTGGGTGACGCGGTCAGCCAGGACTCGGCCAGCTAGGGGCGCGCCCCGCCGCCCCATCGCTCCATAGTGGCCGGCGCGGCAGCCTCAGTCGGCGCTGGTCGCCAGGGCGGTCTCAGTGGACAATGCACCCGACTGGCAGTCCTGAAGTTGAGCTCGGCGCTGGCTGGAAACAGTCCTGGGGACGAACTGGACCCAACCAGCGCAGCTGGTAGTTAGGCAATGCTGCATTGGCGGACGGTCCGCGCTGGTCTCTGGCGTCAGCCGGCGGGCGGATAGTTTCTTTCTTTCTACACCATTGATTTTATAATCGACCTGACCGGTTCGATTACGTACGTAACTTTGTGGCTGTGGTTTGGTTTTGCAGGTATTTCTTACTGTTGGTCATAGCTGTTTTGCTCGTCGACCTGCCTTTCCTCCGTTTAGTGATTGTTCTCCGCCAATCAAAACAGCGCGTGGATGGGCATTTACTTGGCTACGTTCCTGGGCTCTGTGCGTGCGCCGTGCGTGTGACTGGTGGACTGCTGTGCTAGCGGGCCGGACGCAGCGCCCTTCATCGCCCGCCGCCGCCGGACGGCAGGCTACATGTATTTATGGTCGTACGGTGTTGACATGTGCGGTTGCTCCAGTGTCATTATTGAATGTATCACCTTTTGCATGTGTCTGTTTGTGGGTTTGGTGTGGCGGGACCGGCTCGGCGAGCGGTGGAAGGCGCACCTGGTCTTCCATAGAGTAGGTGGCAGCACCTGCCCTCAGACCACAGCCGGTCACTGGCTACGGGCCGCAGCGTGGGAGCTGTACGATGATTACACGTGTTTTCTCAATGCTATGACGAAAAATGTTCTGCCTTTATTTACATATTGATGATTTACTCCTAGCATTGCCCTAATGGTATTCGTAGCTGTTAAAGCCTAAAGGGACTAAGGAAGCCGTGCTGTTCTTTGGTATCACGGTATCTGAGTATCGGACGGATCTTTTTTTTTGGGGGGGGGGGAAGGCCCTTTCGGTCCAATTAGACCATTTCAGAGCCGGAAAGATGATAGGAATTAGGGGGAGACATTGGTCTGGGCCGACACCCTAGAGAGTCGCCGGGGCTGAGCCCGTCCGAATGGACAGACCGACCAGCCCCCCAAGCACTCTGCACCCGGCTACGGGGTGCGCTCCATCGGGAGCAGCGGTGCCGCTCCAAGGGAGCAGCCCGCATGATATAAATTTGCCTGTCCAGCCCGGAGGGGGTTGCGGCGTGGAGGAAAAGGATTTCAGTATCCTGAGGATAGAAGCACGGAACGGTGACTGGATGGGGTCGGTCAATTTTGTTTTTTTGTTTTGTTGGGTTAGGCCCTTTCGGTGCAATGGGACCATTTCAGAGCCGGGAGGATGATATGATTTAGGGGGAGACATTGGTCTGGGCAGGCACCCTAGTCAGTCACCGGGGCTGAGCCCGTCCAGAGGACAGGCCACCCAGCCCCAAAGTACTCGCTGCACCCGGCTACGGGGTGCGCTCCCTCGGGAGCAGCGGTGCCGCTCCAAGGGAGCAGCCCGCATGATATAAATTTGCCTGTCCAGTCCGGAGGGGGTTGCGGCGTGGAGGAGAAGGATTTCAGTATCCTGAGGATATCATGGATATCATGAGGATGATATAAGCACGGAACGGTGATTTGAACGGAGGGGGTCGGTCAAGGCCCTAAGTACCATAGAAATACAGTGAGGCACAGTGAGGTTTTATTTAAAGGGACCCTCCCACCTTAACATTAGTTTTGAGTTGAGATAGCCAAGTTTGCGGCCAGGCTCAGAAACCACCATTTATCTTGGTCGCAACCCCCGCAGCTTTATGGTGTTCAAGAAATTTCTTCTCTTTACTTGCAGGGTGGGACCAGCGTGGTCCCTATCTCTTAACCCGCGCCCTGCTGGGGGGGGGGTGTTTGAACACCCCCCCTGTGGTTTTTCGCGAATATCTCAAAAACGGCGGCGCGGAGCGCCGCCGTTTTTGGTACACCTTATCATACATCAATTCTACACATGTTGTGAAAATTTCAGACCAAGGTCATTCAAGGTCAGGTCACCAGGTCACTCGAAGTGACCTCACCTCATAAAAAGTTTCAATGTCTGTCATAGCTACACCGAGTGACCGATCGCTTTGAAACTTTCAGCGATTGCTAAGAGCATTAGAATGTACAAAATGTATATCTCAGAATTTTGATATCGATGACCTAAGGTCAGGTCAATTTTGCGACCTCACCATTATAAGTCAATGGGAGAAAATTGAAATGCGCCTGTTTTGGACGAAAGACATTATAAACACTCCCAAACACTGAATTACAAGTGGTTTAGACACACTGAACATGAAAATGGTGTCTGTGACCCCTGTTTATGCCCTGAGGTCATCTTAGGTCACGAATGGTATCTAACAGTTTTTCGCAAATAACTTTTGATAGAGGCATGCTAGAGCGATGAAAACGCCTTAGATGTGTTCAGCTCGACGATACGGATCGACTGATATGCAACATGACCCTTTCCGGTCAGGTCATGACCTTGACCTGAGGTCAAATTTTCAAGTTGACCTTTCAAGGTCAAATTATAGTTCGTTCGATGCGTCTTGACGAGAGGAACACGATGCCGGTAAAAGTAAGCTCGTACAATGCTTGGGTCAAAAGTTATTGCAGAAAAACTGTTTCCGAAAAAAATCGGCTATTTTTGCAGTTTTTGCCCCCTGCAGGCAAAACCGTTGACGTTAGGTCAAATCTGAGAGAATTACTCAGAAAGGGCGTTAATAGGGCTATCGAATGCGCTTTTCCGCGGCGCTGTAGCTCTATTGGTTCCCGAGTTATGCGTTGGCTTCTTGGAAATTTTCGACATTCGACCTGGAAATCGGCGAAAATTTGCCTTCAATGACCTCTGGTGACCTGACCTTTGACCTGACCAAAAAATTGACCGAAGTGATTTCCTCATTATTTTTGACGCTCTTTCGAACGCCGCCTTCCGCGTATCGCTACGTGGCCCAGGAGCCGAGTTAGAAGGGGGGGTGTTCAAACACCCCCCCCCCCCCCCCAGCAGGGCGTGGAAATCCAGTACCCCCAGCCGGGCGCGGGTTAACCATTACGGGGATCTGATGACGTCATCAGGCTTTCGAACGTCCGTTAAATGTTTGATTAAAACGTTTTGTAGCACGCGGTGGTATATGCTGCTTTGCGCGCAGCAAATGCCGCACTTTCAAATAAAGTCGCTAGGAACAGCGGAGATCCCAAAAAGTAAACAAAAGTAAAAGTCTAATATCTTGAAAACCGGTGAATATTTTTCGATGAAGTTTGGTAGGTATTCGTTTTTGCTCTTTCTGAACCGAGCGACATCACTTTCATGCCAATTCATTAACTTTTTTGAAGGTGGGAGGGTCCCTTTAAGTACTGGGTACTTTTGAATTGAGTACCAAAAATTTTGGTCTGAATATAGTCGGTTTAGCCAATAAATGGAGTTTTATTGATTGTTAGCTACATTACGTTCATAAATATTAAACATAAATTGTATGTTTTGACTTGACGGCTTATTGTTTCCGGGGTCTTGTCAGTGATGTGGCCCAGCTCTAGGTCATTTGCTCCACCTCTATTCATTTGACCTTCCTGCCTTCTAAAGGTTGGGGGCTGGGCCGATTCGAGTCTCGCGATTCGCTGTTGGACGCTGGAGATCTCGGGTACTGTTCCTCTCTCGCTCAGGACCTGCGCGTGGTAGGACGTACGGCACTGTCTCCACAGCAAATCGTAAGGGAGTGACAGCGTAGATCTAATCACTGTGCCTGCATGGTTGCTGTACCTGTTTTTATGACCCACTTTCACTTTGGTGTTAAAGTTCGTTTATTTTAAGTTTGCCCCTCACTGTAAACGTCTCTTTGAACACAGCACCAGAATTGCTTGCTGAATTACTGAGAAAACTGGTTAGTGCACATTGTATTGGAGATTTGAATAATATGTTCAAAATAAGTTTTGAACACTGGCGATGTAGCATTATGTCAAAGGCAGTGTGTGCAATTCATTAATTACTTCAGACATAATTCCTGAGAAGTCGTCTATCCCTGTGGGGCTGTAGGTATTGGCAAATACGAGCTATGAGTCTGTGAAATAGTAAATAAATTTGATGAAATTGATCTGTGAAATCTGGTCAAATCAATGTACGCCAACCAGTTATCTCAGTAATTCAGCTAGCAATAAACAAACTATAATTGTGGGTAGAATTATGTGTTGTGTTGTCGATTTCCTTGAGTGTGGGATAGACAAATGGCCTAATGAATGGGTAATGGGTGGTACTGATTATGATGGTATTGGACAATGGACATCAGTGGATCTGGTGTGCTTGTGATGTGGATAGGCATGTTGAAATATAGTATGTGCATAGGATTGGGTCCAACTGTCCAGTGAAAAATGCTAGCAATTAGGATAAGGTTTGGCCAGGTCTCATATTTCTTAGGATCATGCTTAGGCTCTTTTTCACACTGGATTTCAATATATGCTTGCTTGTGCCATCACCTATCAGTCAGCCATCAACATCATGATCACAGGCTATATTGTCATGAAGTACCTACATGAAGTACCTACCTTGACCTCTTGTAGTTGGCTGTACATTGACACATTTTTTGTGTGGGTATTCATTATTCCTATTTTTACCCTAGTGAAGGAGCATGATTATACTACCTACATATGTTACTTATGATTACTCTCAACTTTTGCTGGTACATAGGTAGTGAGACTTCATGTTTCCATTGAGGCCTTCAGCTTTTCCATTGTTCTTACCACAGTGTACATACTGCCACTGGTGTTTATATTGAAGGATTTAAAATTAGCCCTGTCATACTTGATTCTGATGTGGAATTTTCTTGCATGGGTTGGAATGAGTCAATCAGTGCAGTCTGGCCTGGCTGGGGCTCTGGTTTTCAGAAATTTATTTTGTATTTGTCACAAATTTAATATAGTATATGTCCCCTGACAGTGTCCTGACCTTTGTCTTTCAGGTACCACATCATCAACAGCATCATGACCACCTACTTCAGTTACCCATCTGCTGAGCTGCAGAAGGAGCTGGCAGACATTGCCAATGCTATTGTCGCTCCTGGCAAGGGAATTTTGGCTGCTGATGAGTCCACCGGCACCATGGGCAAGCGTTTTGCCAACATCGGTGTGGAGAACACTGAGGAGAACCGCCGCAAGTACCGCCAGGTAGGTGGCCTGATGGCTGTGTCTGGAGCCAGCGTCCCAGAGCTGGGTGTCCCGGCCGGTGGCGGGGCTCGGCTCGCTGTGTCGGCTGCTGGTAATGCCGGCCGGCTGGTGCGGCTGGCCCAGTGCCAGCGCGATCGGACCGGCTGGGGCCGACCGGTCGGCTAGTGAAAGTCCCTCTGGTGCGGGCGATGTGCGCCCGCGGCGGACCGGGCGCCAGCCGCTCCACGCGCTGCGCCGCGCCGGTGGGCTGAGGCGGCATCGTGACGGTCTGTCGGCCGTGACAGGGTCCGCCAGCCGGCTGTGACAGCCCCCCCCCCGCCGGCGTGACGTCCCATGCTTTCAAACAGAAGTGAGATAATAACCATTTCAGAGTGCTTCATATCTTAACCCGCGCCCCGTGGGGGGGGGGGGGGGCGAAACGGCCTCCCTGTCCTTTTCCGTCGATATCTCCTAAACGACTGCATCTATCGTCACCAAACTTTCAGGACCCCTCCGGGCATCAATTTTACACATTGTGACCATGTTTTCCAGAGGCTATGATAGGTTGGCCGCAAATGATGTCAGAATGACGTCATGTTCTGCCATTTTCGACCCCCAAAAAAGGTTTCGCGGGAAGAGCTGTCTCAGCTTCGAAGATAGAAAAAATGTTCAAGACATAAAATGTGTACAATTGACAGGGCTATAAGACTGCTATCTCGGATTTTTAGAATTTCTGGATTTTGATCCCCAAAAATAAAAAAGGTGTTTTTTGGATAGCCAAAAAATCCCAAAAGTTTTTAGAAATTCGAAAAAACGCAATAAATACATATGATAGTCATCCTATCCACATACCAAATTTAAGATTGATACATCTTTTTTCAAAGTTATAGCGAAAACACTGTTCAAAATTGATGAAGTAAAATCATCAAAATCAATTTTTAGCCATTTTAGACCTCGTAGCGCAAAAAAAAGACCACGATTAGACTCCCCGTGACGAGCTGCATCGAATCGATGCCCATTTTATGCCAAAATATCTACTTTGAAATTGGACCTTTTTTGACCTGATCTTGACCTGACATAAGCTCCAGAACATAAGCTTAACTGGCCTTAAAGGTTGCCTGACCCACATAATCTCATTTGTCATGTAAAATGGACCACAAAACATGTATCACACGACACTTTCGTATGGTGATCTTCAGCGACCTATGACCTTCAGCGACCTTCAGCGACTCTGTGACCTGACCTGATATCAATGACAAAAATATTAATGACCTCAAATAGCAAAATGTGTGTTCTACTGACCATTCCCCTATCGATGATTTTCAATAGCATGTATTTTACTCGATTTTACAACACATTTATTGAAATGCCTGTAAACGGTGAAAATTTGACCTTTGACCTGACCTTTGACTTCATCGGTTGGACCGAGGTCAAGGCAATTCTGTCACAAGGTAGTTCCGTGGTAGGGCTATCCAACGCCGTTTGAATTTTGAAAATCGGCCGGTAACTTTCCGAGATCTTGGGGGGGGGGGGGCGAAACACCCCTCTCCCCCCACGGGTGGTGGGGTCCACCGATAGCCCTACGGGGCGCGGGTTAACATTCAAATTCAAAGGAACTTTAAGAGACACTCGAATAAAAATTATTTTCCTTTCCCACCTCTATCTTTTCAGAGCCATTTTCCGCTGCAAATTTTACCGAGAGAAAGCATTTGCGTGGATGGTCGTTTTACTTCATACAATATACCGCCTTTGTATGTAAATCCATGCTATTGATCCTTTTTTTCACTCTTTTGGGCTATACCTGACCAGCAGTTTCACTCGTACCTATCCCCCTTTGTGGCGAGGAAGATTTCCCTCTTCTATAACACTCAGCCTATTTAGCCTAAATACAATTTTGGGACACTGCTGGTGAAAAAGGTGTTGGCTGGTGGTGCTGTCTTCGCTACGCTCACTGGTTTGATTTCAGGCGATGGTATCAGGTTAGGTCCTGTGTCATTTGATATACCATCGGAATTCGTGTGTCGTTCGGTCGGCATGCTGGGATGCCTTGCTGGGTGTTGACTGTTGGGGGCAGAAAATATGCGCCATGTATTCCAATGGTAGATGCCAACACGCGATTTGCAGGCTTGGAATCTGTGTTCCAGCCTTATGTCGGTCTGTATCTCCCGGGCCCATCTGACCAGTCTGTATGGACTGGGGGCCATCTGACCAATCTGTGTATCGCCCGGGCCCATCTGACCAGTCTGTATGGACCGGGGGCCATCTGACCAGTCTCCGTATCGACCGGGGCCAGCTGACCAGTCTCTGTATCGACCGGGGCCAGCTGACCAGTCTGTATGGACCGGGGGCCAGCTGACCAGTCTCTGTATCGATCGGGGCCAGCTGACCAGTCTGTATGGACCGGGGGCCAGCTGACCAGTCTCTGTATCGATCGGGGCCAGCTGACCAGTCTGTATGGACCGGGGGCCAGCTGACCAGTCTCTGTATCGATCGGGGCCAGCTGACCAGTCTGTATGGACCGGGGGGCCATCTGACCAGTCTGTATGGACCGGGGGGCCAGCTGACCAGTCTGTGTATCGACCGGGGCCATCTGACCAGTCTCCGTATCGCCCGGAGCCGCGGCCGGCCCGGCACTGCCGGCCGTCTCCCGACCCGGCTCAGATGGGGGTGTGTTCAGCCGGGCCGCTGCCGATTGGCGGCCGTTGGGGGTGTGTCCGCCGCTCGGGCGCGGGAGCCGCGACGGCGCCGTTGCGTCACTGGTGCCGCGGTGGCTGGGTCTCGGGTGGCGGCGCCGGGGCCCGCACAGTGATGCAAATGGGGTTCACGAGTGGCCATAAATACCTAAAAGTCAAGTTTACCAAACCGAGTAAATCGCTATATGGCTAAGCAAAGAAATGTTTGGTGCATCTGAAATCATATAGATTTCATATTTTGGTCAAAACTGGCTTCGTGTATGATTGTCAGAAGTCGTGACATTTTCTATGTCGTAAAAGGACTGCCAGATATTTGCAAGTTCAAACACCGCTAGCGTGCGTTCATTTAACACAAACTGCAAAAATTATATATGGCAATGATCACTAAGGCCTGCTGCTTCTCATGCCGGGTCACAAAAAGCCGCATCTTTTTTGGTTTGGCGGTGATCTAATCATTTGTCATCATGTTGCAATCGCAGTTTTTTACTAATAAATATTTGTTTTCGTTTCACCTACAGCAGCTTACACAGTGTGTGCCCGTTAGTGCACCATACCATAGCATTCCCTAATAATTTCTGAGCCACAACGTGAAAGAATTAAGGCGCTAGCACAGGGCAGACCGGCGCTATTGAAGTTTTTCTCCGGCGCGGTCGGGTGTCGCGGTCAGGGCGGATTGCTTTCACCGCGGATTGCAATTTCGACAGACGTTTAACTTTGAACTGCTATAAGTAGGCCAAATATTGACCTTAATCAAAAGTAATATGCTCACTCTCGAGATGTTGTCAAGAACAATCCGGTGGTTTTTGTCGCGAGGCGCTAGGACACTTCGTTTAGGAACAGCAGAGGGATGCACCGACGAACCCCGGCTGTGGCCGCCCGGGCCGCCCACCGCGCCGCGGCACCCGACCGCAACGGACGAAAACTTTAGTAGCGCCGGTCAGCCCTGAGCTACCGCCTTCATTCTTTCACAGTGCGACTCAGAAATGATTAGGGAATGCTATGGTATGGTGCACTAACGGGCACACACTGTGTAAACTGCTGTAGGTGAAACGAAAGCAAATATTTTTAAATAAAAAACTGCGATTGCAACATGATGAAAAATAGTTATGTCAACGCCAAACCAAAAGAGATACGGCTTTTTGTGACCCTGCATTAGAAGCAGGAGACTCTGGGGATCATGGCCATGTATAATTTTTGCCATTTGTATGAAATGAACGCACGCTAGCGGCGTTTGAAGTTGCGAGTATCTGACAGTTATTTTACGACATAGAAAATGTCACGACTTCTGACAATCATACACGAGGCCGGTTTTGACAAAAACATGAAAATCATGTTTTTTCAGACACCCCAAACATTTGTCTGACTGGCCATATTACGATTTATTCGATTAGTTGAACTTGAAATTTGGGCCTTTTCGGTATTTATGGCCACTCGTGAACCCCATTTGCATCACTGTGGCCCGGGGCCGGGACTCGGGAGGGCGCCCCGCTGCGACTGGTGTCAGTCAGCTACCGTAGCCCGTGCCGCCACTCACCCGGTGCGGTTTGTCGCACGATAGCTAACCGTGTCGACGGTCAGGCACATGGACTCCATGTCGGTAACGGTAGCTTTTACTGCCGCCCCAGACTTCGTCTGGTTCGTTTGGAACGTCACTGAGCTTAGGAGCTGTTACGCAACCAATCGTACAGTAACCAGAGCAGAAACTGTCGACATTCCTATAAACAACGCCACATGGCTCTGGCCCCTGACTGGCAACGTCACGCGGGCTGGCGTGTTTAAATGTTGACTCGATGGGCGGCGTGGGTATCGTTTTCACTGTGACCCAGCATTCCATCGCCCAACATTTGTTTCACAAATAAGAGTACGTGAGATTGAGCAAGGATGACCGCCATGTCTGTCTGTTCTGTGTTATAATGGGCCTGGCGTCGTGTTTCCAGTCCTGTTTGACGTGTTTTGGTCCGCCTGGAAACTACACCATATGTTTCTTGCCGAATTAAAGTACACGTTATTTTTAGTTTAATTAGGTATCTGCGCATTGACCCACCAACTGGCAGTGCATGATGTGCCAGATGGAGGACACACGCACACAAGCACACACACACGGCTGGCACCGTCCTCATTCCGCAGCTGACCTTGCCGTACCGTGGTCCTGTGACCGCCCTTCCCAGTGACCGCCCTGTGTGGTACCTCGTCCCTGTGCGGTACCGTGGCCCTGGGTGACCACCCGTCCCTTTGTGACCACCCGTCCCTGTGCGGTACCTCGTCCCTGTGCGGTACTGTGCCCCTGTGTAACCGCCCTGTGCGGTACCACGTCCCTGTGCGGTACTGTGGCCCCTGTGTGACCGCCCTGTGCGGTACTGTGGCCCCCGTGTGACGGCCCGCTCCTTGCCGTCCGCAGCTACTGTTTACCTCCGATAAGGTGGTTGGCGACAACATCTCTGGCGTGATCCTGTTCCACGAGACCCTGTATCAGAAGGCGGACGACGGCACGCCTTTCGTCGAGCTGCTCAAGCAGCGCAACATGATCCCCGGCATCAAGGTCGACAAGGGCGTGGTCGATCTGATGGGCTCCGAGGGCGAGGGTACCACACAGGGTGAGTGATCTCCACTAGGGCTGTTGAAAATAAACGAATTAGGGAAAGGTATTCACTATGCGGATTTCGGGCTCATGGTTCCTGTGGTGTCGTATTCTTTTCCGGTTCCAACGATGCTCATTTTACGAAAAATGTTGACTATTAGTGTTCCCCAAACGGCTTAAAGCGACCATGTTGGCGTGCGGGTGTGGATATGGTCTAGAATTCAACCGCTGCGCGTGGGCGGGAACGCCTTGTTTTGGCACCGCCGGCGCCCCGCTACCCGACTTGCCGCGCGGCCGGCAAGCCACGCGCGGTGGGAGGGAATGAGAGCGTGGTCGTATTTACGACGAAGTGAAGTTGGTGCGACTGCCCGTATGTGCCAGTGCCGCTGTGCACCCAGCCGTTCCCGGTGTCTCGGCTGACGGCGTCCGCCCTCCCTGCCGCAGGCCTCGACGACCTGGGCAAGCGCTGCGCCCAGTACAAGGCCGACGGCTGCCAGTTCGCCAAGTGGCGCTGCGTGCTCAAAATCGGCCAGAACACGCCCAGCTACCAGGCGATGCTGGAGAACGCCAACGTCCTGGCGCGCTACGCCTCCATCTGCCAGATGAACGGCCTGGTGCCCATCGTCGAGCCGGAGGTGCTGCCGGACGGCGACCACGACCTGGACCGCGCCCAGAAGGTCACCGAGACCGTGCTGGCCTTCGTCTACAAGGCGCTCAACGACCACCATGTGTTCCTCGAGGGCACGCTGCTGAAGCCCAACATGGTGACGGCCGGCCAGTCGTGCGCCAAAAAGTTTTCGCCGGAGGAGGTGGCGCGCGCCACGGTGACGGCGCTGCAGCGCACCATGCCGGCCGCCGTGCCGGGCGTCACGTTCCTGTCCGGCGGACAGACCGAGGAGGAGGCCTCCGTCCACCTCAACGCCATCAACGCCTTCGCGGGCAAGAAGCCGTGGGCGCTGACGTTCAGCTTCGGCCGCGCCCTGCAGGCGTCCGTGCTGAAGGCCTGGGCCGGCAAGGACGAGAACGTGGCCGCCGGACAGCAGGAGCTGCTCAAGCGCGCCAAGGTGAGCGCCGCATGGTGTGCGGCAGCTCCCCGCTGCAGCTGTACCTAGCACGCCATGCGCTTACTGGCTAACGTTTTTATTTGCGTGCCATACCCTTGCTGTGTTTTGTTTTGCCTATTTCAATACTACGTTTCGGTAGATATTTTACTGCTTGCAATGCTTTTCTTAGATGCCCTGTTTGCTGCCTGCAATCTTGTATTTTGCTTTTGCAGTTTATTTTTAGTTCCAGCCCAGTTTGTGCTGTACATGTTACGTGGCTGCTGCGGTTGCGGCGCCGGCGCGGTAAGTATGGGCCGCTCCCAGCCAGCGCTAGTGGTGGTGTGTGTGTGTGTGTGTGTGTGTGTGTGTGTGTGTGTGGCTCGCCGCCCCAATCCGTCCGCCGCCCCTGTCTGCAGGCGAACGGGCTGGCCAGCCTGGGCCAGTACGCGGCCGGCTCCATCCCCAGTCTGGCAGCCACCCAGAGCAACTTTGTCAAGGCGCACGCCTACTAGGCGCTCCACTCTGCGGCGGCCGCCGGCGCGCTCAGGTGCTGTGACGAGTGACGGCGGTCCCCGGGTAACAGTCCCGCCCAGGTGCTGTGACGAGTGACGGCGGTCCCCGGGTAACAGTCCCGCCCAGGTGCTGTGACGGCGGTCCCTGGGTAAACAGCCCCACTCGGGTTAATCGGCGCACACGCGCGCCTGTATTCAACTGTTGACCTTCCATTGGTTGGTTACTGTCTTAGGACAGTTGCAGTTTTAACTTTCTTATAGTGCATTTACATGACGTTTTGCATTTGGACTAGTCTATGAATAAGTGGCCATGCCTTTGGATGCTGGGTCAATTAACTATCAGTCTACCACTTACATGAGTCACTTCTACTGCAGATTGCTCAAATAATACGTATCACGTCCCTCATTCCGTGTCTTACTCGGAGCCGTGGCGGTACCAGTGTCGACTTTCGGCTGACGTTCGACTTTCGGTAGTGTTTGTGACCGGTGTCCGACTGTACCGTCTCGTGTCTGACACTACTCTGACCGTACCGTCTCGTGTCAGATCAGACTCCATATGTCTGTGTCGTATCGTGTCTGCCCCTCGGCCTGTATCTGACTCGGTACCCCCCCCCCCCCCCCCTCCGTACAGGCGAACGGCGAGGCGGCCCAGGGCCAGTACGTGGCCGGCTCGTGTGTCGGCGCTGCCGCCGACGAGGGACTGTTCATCAAGAACCACCAGTACTGAAGGGCGGCGCCGCGCCGCGCGCCCGCCGGCACCCACACCCGGCCTCCCCCGGGCCGCTCCCCTCTGCGTCCCCCCAGTGTGCGCCGCCGCTTGGTAGTCTGGTAGCGCCGCGACTCTGTCCCCTCTATCTCTCTCTCTCTCTCTCTCTGCCCCCGGGCTCCGCTGTGACGCTGACCGGCCGACCTGCCGACGCTCGGCGCTGGCTGCCAGCGTAGAGCCTCTGCATCTCTGCAGGTCACAGCGGGCCGCGCGCACATCACTGGATTACTTTATTACCTAGGGTTGTTTTGAGACTTGATGGATGAACAAGGAGGCTATATGGTGAACGGCAATGATTTGTGATTCAATCATGTCTATTTCAAACACTTGTTACGTGATTGATAGAACAGTATGATTTCGTAAGACTGTATAGTTGCATTTTATAAAGTTTATTGGGCGGTGCGAGTGCGCCTTCAGCTGTCGGCGCACTAGAAGTGCTCTGTGTGTAATGCGACTGTTTTTGTCCGGCAGCGCAGTTCAGAGACTGGAATACACGTATCGCGAGGCGATTGGCGCAGTGTTTGCAGCCGAAATGGCGGAGGGCCGATTGGGGACGGGCGGAGACGGGCGGCCAGCGGCTCCGCGCCGGGGCCGCGAGGTCCGACCTTGTCCCTCACTCAGTCTAGCGGAGCGGCGGCCTGACCGTGGCGGGGCTGGCCAGCCGTCCGTGAACTGGCCGATGCAGGCTGACTGAGTGCGCGGCCGAAACGCCCCCAGGCGGCTGCCAACCAGAGCCGGTCGGCTCAATACACCGGGCCGCCGTCCCGACGGACTGGTGGTTGGCGGGTGAGACTGGGGCGTATCTGTCCCAGCATTGCGTCTGTCCCGGCTGTCTGATCGACAAACGACATTGGATGTCTTCAGGCCACAGCGTATCCGGGATTGACCGACTAGAGACCCGACACCTACCTACTAACAGGCGCTCCGGAGACTGGGGCGTTCCACCCCCTTCTGTGTCCCAGTCGAGTGAACGTTACAACACTACTGAAACAAGTTGACCCGGAAAGGTAAAAAACCCTACTAAGTGTTCCGAAAGTTTGCGGATCCCGTTTCCAAGTGGGTGCGGGTGGCCGCGCCATGCGCTGTTCGCTGCCTGGGGTCAAACGGACGCCGATGAGCCGTGCAGTCACCCATCGTAATCTGCAACTGTAGCACGCCTGTGATAAAGACGACACACTCGATATACGATATATTCATATCTACAGAAATGCCGCCGCCTGGGGGGCTGACCTCGGCCCGTGACAGGGCACCGGCGGCCGGCGGGCCGGCTATGCGCCAGGCTAAGCACATGGGTGCGGTCTACACGGCACAGCAGCCGAGGCGCCCGCGCCGCCGAGCGACCCCGGCGTGTAACGTAGCTAATTCTCCAGCCATAAAGCTAGAAACGGGCTACCCGGCTAGTGCAAGCAATCGACAATGTCACAGACACTGGGGGAGCCGCGCTTATGCCGACATTCATCACATCAAAGATTTCGACCCGCATTCTCTACCGAGGCCATTAATCAGCTGGCAAGTGACTGGCTGTACAAGTAATGCGATCATAAATAAACATATGAACATACAGACAATGACGTCACATAATATACGAGAAACTGCACGCGCAAGTGAACCTCTATTGCGCGACGCGCGCCACGAGTATTCCTGAATTCCATTGATTCCAAAGCATCACAGCCACTTCGACGGCAGCGCCGGCTGCCGGTGTCGAATGCAACTAGTAGTGCCTGTACGGGCGGCGCGGCGGCGCTGCGCTCACACCGGTGTGTAGTTTCCCACCGGCTTGTAGAACAGCTGGCCGGAGACCAGCCGGCGCAGCAGCTCGCTCCTCAGCATCTTGCGCTCCTTGGCCACCTTGGTGAGGATGCCCTTGTTCTCCTGCGCGCGCCGCGACAGGTAGGGCAGCACCTCGTCGATCGGCCCGTACGGCACGTACTTGTAGACCGAGTAGCCCGCCTGGCCTGTGGCACAGACGGGGCGGCGAGCGCTGGTCACCGGCACTGGACCACACCGGACCACAGCCGGCCACACCGGACCACACCGGACCACAGCCGGCCACACCTGACCACACTGGACCACAGCCTACCACACCTGACCACACCGGACCACGCCTGACCACAGCCGGCCACACTGGACCACACCGGACCACAACCGACTACAACAGACAGAAGACCACACTGGACCACAGTGGACCACACCCGGACTACACCGGACCACACATGACTACAGCCGACTACAACGGACTACACTGGACCACAGCCGACCGCTACAGACCACACCGGACCACAGCCGACCACACTGGACCACAGTGGACCACAATCGACCACACCCGACCACAGCCGACCACGGACCACAGCCGACTACAACAGACAACAAAGGACCACAGTGGACCACACTGGACCACACCCGACTATTCCGACCACTGAAACGGACCATATCCGACCACATCCCAGCTAGTCTTCCCAAGTAGGACCCCAAGTGGGCACCAAACTGGGGCCCTTCTGGGCTGCCCAACACGGATCCAGATAGGCATGTCATGGGTGTCCAGCTGGGTCCCATCTGGGCACCCCAGACGGGGCCCATGTGGGTTCAGCTGGGGCCCGTATTGAACCCATATGGACTTTCCCAGTTCACGTGGTCACACGTGTGAGAACTGCGTACCTTTTGTCTCTAACTTGATCCCTCCCTACATAAATACGAATTGAAGAACTATTGCAACATGATTCGGGGACCCCAACCACTTAACTACGCTACCATTAGAAGTAGGCGGCCGGTGGCCGGTAGAGAACAGAAACGAGAACCTTTTACGCGTATGTACCTGTTGTGAAAAAGGAGAAGAGCTTGTAAATTGTAATGATAGGTATGCTGAAACCAACAAAGTAACGATAGGTATGCATGCTGTAGAGTGCAGACACATTCTCCGTTACTCCATGTTGTCTCACTCTGAGTTTAAGGAGTGGAGTGGAGGTGCTGGCTTCATCCGGAGCGGACAAGGGCGTTTGCGCCCGCCGTCTCGTGTTCGAAGTGCTCTGACGTCTAGTACGTAAAGTTAGCCCACTTAGCCCATCTGGGACCAAGATGAAGCCCATGGCAAGGCCAGATGTAGCCCATGCACACATTGTCCAGGTACCCCACTTTAAGCCCCAATTGGTCCTATTTGGAATGGCTGGCTGGGATCGGACCACACCTGACCAAACCCGACCCACATCGGACCGCACCGGACCACACCGGACCACTGAGCGGGACCAACCACACCGGACCACCCCCGAACCACACCGGACCAGTGTGCCAGGTCACATCGGACCACCCCGGACCAGTGATCCAGGCAGGCACCCAGCACATGGGTCCGCAGCCGCAACTTGAATCCGCAACGTGAATCTGCAACATCGAATCTATCGGACAGGACATGTGGAGTTGAAACTTTGTGCAAAAATATATGTATTTCGGTGAATTGATTACTTGTTTTGATTATCAAAGGTGGCCATCCGAATTCCAATCACCTATCGCACAGCACACAACAAGGCTCAGCAGCGCTTATTTGGAATTCATCTAAAGGCGGGCGGCACTGGTGACGGCTGCCGGGCGGCGCCATTGATCGATACGCGGCAGCTCATTTTCAGTCGTAGACAAATGCTGTAATGCACCTCCCCGGGATAGATAACGAGTACAACAACACCATTAATATTCATCGCGGCAGGTCAGCAAGCCGCAATGACATTGAACTTATCAGGACGTCGATCAGCGCTCATCACAAATTTGTGGAGCGAGCGCCCGATACAAAGTCACGCGAACCGTCCACAAAAAACGCACCGTCCGAACTCGGCGTCATCGTTAATCAATAGTAGGGCTCAGCCGCCACTGGCCAGCCACCACTGACCACTGACCACTGACCAGCCACCACTGACCAGCCACCAATGACCAGTCACAAATGACCAGTCACCACTGACCACTGACCAGTCACCAATGACCAGTCACCAATGACCAGTCACCAATGACCAGCCAGCACTGACCAGTCACCACTGACCACTGACCACTGACCAGCCACCACTGACCAGTCACCAATGACCAGCCACCACTGACCAGTCACCACTGACCACTGACCACTGACCAGCCACCACTGACCAGTCACCAATGACCAGCCATCACTGACCACTGACCACTGACCAGCCACCACTGGCCAGCCGCCACTGACCAGTCACCAATGACCACTGACCACTAACCACTGACCAGCCACCACTGGCCAGCCGCCACTGACCAGCCGCCACTGACCAGCCACCACTGACCACTGACTACTGACCAACCGACAGCCACCAATGACCAGCCGACAGTCACCACTGACCAGTCCACACTGACCAGTCACCACTTACCACTGACTAGCTACCAATGACCACTGACCACTGACCACTGACCGGCCGACAGCCGCCGCCGCCACTGACCACTGACCAGCCACCACTGACCAGCCACCAATGACCACTGACCACTGACCACTGATCAGTCGACAGGGTGTCAGGTTTGGTCTCATTGGACCGATTCGGACCAATGGGACCGAATCAGTACAGAACAACAGGGCCCCCTGAAAGCAGACGAGCTCATGGTCTGAAAGTTCAGGACCAATTTCGATGACTTCATTCGGAGTGCCGTTGTCTGAAACAATGCCGTTTTTGGTATTTTTCTATTGGCTCGCTAATCTAAGTGGACCATATTGGTTCAAAACGCCTATCATTGCATTGCAGAGCATGCTCCGAGACCAATATTTTCCGGGCATACACTTCGGTACACTTGGGTCATTTTTTGGGTCCGGTCAAAGGTCAGGTCACCACTCACCAGGTCAAAGTCACGTCATCAAAGGTCAAATTTTGAATATTCCGACATTTTTTGAAGAGTAGACGCATAACTCGGGAACTAAAGAACATAGGTACCTGTGCTGCGGAAAAGCGCATTTGATAGTCTTTTGACGGGCTCTTTCCGAAATATATGCTCTCGGATTTGACATACAGATCGACGGTTTATCCTTCAGAGGGCAAAAACTCCCAACATGACGCTTTTTACGGACAATACCTATTCTTGTAGGAAGCATCATTATAATATATGACCTTCTCCTCGGAAAATGACAAAATAAATGGAAATGATTATTTATTGATAAATTGATGATATTTCGGTCGCAGACCTTCGTCTAAATCGAATTCGTTAAATCGTACAAAGCACTTTCTCGACGCTGTAGCTCTCTTGGTTCATGAGATATGCACTGGTTTGTCGAAAATCTGTCAAATTCGGGGAAATTGAAGGGAAAATTTACCTTTCATAACCTCCAGTGACCTCAGCGTTGACCTGAGCGGAAATGATCTTTTTACCTACAGAGGGGCTATCGATTGTTTTTTTTGTGTTTTTTTTTTTGTCCGTCTTGTTAGCCTTTTCAGTCTTCATCATAAAACAATTGATAATAACCTTTTGCTCATAACTGAGAGAAGCCAAAAACAAATCCAAAATATATTTTCGGTGCTGGACTTTCTTTTTGGATCTGGTTTTGGTTTCTTTTAGTTATGAGCAGCAGGTTATTATTAATTCTTCCTGTAATTACAATTATAATCATGCTAAAAAAACGTTTCAAACCATTCAAAAATTTTCGTTTTCAAGATAATTGGTGTGGTTGAATACCTCCTCCCCTGCCCTCTACCACATGGCGGAGTTGGCTGAGACCCGAAGGTCCCACCAGTGTGCGGGTTAACGATAAAACGGCACGTGACCTGCTCGGATCAGCTGAGAGCTCACCTAGCGGGAACGACACGTGGTCGCACATGCCGAGCAGCTGGCCGAAACAGACCACCTTGTCCTCGCGCTTGATGTCCAGCTCGTCCATCCTGTAAAGGCACGGCGATAGCTCTGTGAGTAGACGATTCTCCGCAGTCACGGCAGCGCATCAGGATGAACACACGCCTGCCTTCATAAAGCATTCAACATCGGTAACCAGGACATAGTACAAACTTGGATTTGTCGTATCTAAGTAGAAATAAATAAATAATGACTTGAACTGAGATCAGATCACCGGGTCAGGCCGAGGAAAGAAACTCAAGTGTAGTCACTGACTGTATTTTTTTATTACACGTCAAATCCCGGAACATATGCAACAGAAAAGAGCAGGGTCGGTCAGTTCTGTAGTTTCAGGTCGATGTCTGGTCATGTCAGGGAAGGAGCGTTAAGAACAGGCACCAATGTGTATTTATTCACATGAAGCCCTGAGTGATGTGGAGGCATAGGCATTAAAGTTAATCCGTAAAGGGAAATAAGAAATATGGGAAAATCTGAAATTAAGCATGTCGCTTTAACGTAGGGTGTCAATTCTAACCCTCATCCCGCCGGTCTATTCAGCGAAACGCGCCCTGCTGCCCCCCTCCCTTACCCTATCTAGCTTCCAAACAGATGGTCGTAGAAAGACGGGGAAAACGGCAATCGAAAGCTCTCAACAAGACAGATCTTTGGAGTAAACACCTTTGCCCAAGTAGGAGATCAGGTCAAGGTCAGGTCAAGGGTAAACTAATGGACTGAGACTGATAACCCAAAAAGTGCTCTTAGGCTACCAAGACTAGATTAGTTGCATAAGATCTCATATAAAGGTCAAGGTCAATGTCAGGTCAGGTCACCAAAGACGAAATATAGAATAGGATAAAAGCGACACATGCTTCACGCATCACTTTATTTACATAATTCAATTAGCATATTTAATTAGTGATATGGACCATATTTGGAAAAAATCAGGTCGAGTTCGGGTCAAGGTCACGGCAAAGGAGGTAGAATTTTGAAGTTGATTGTTAAGATCCAAAAAGGTCTCTATCTGTTGCAGTTTTTTCTCGACAAATTGAATGGTGTTATTCTTGTTCCCGTACGAGGTTTAAAGCTTCTAAAAATTACGTTTCTTAATTTTGTATGTCGTGACGTCATCACAATCGAATAATTTCTACATTTTTTAACCGATTCTTCTAAAAATTAGAATGTAGGTGCACCGAGACTACTGCTCTAACAAATATTCAGGTTGTTATATCGATAAACTGTAAATTTTTAATTTTGTAATGATTCTTAAGAAGTTAAAAATATCGGATGAAAGTTCTACATTTAGATAGCACTTAGATAGCACTTAGAAAGACAAAGAAGAGATAGCACTTAGAAATACAAAGAAGAATCACCTTTATGCTTTTTGTTACGTCTTGATTCCTTAAAAACTGAAGATGTTAGAGGCGTTTGAAGATATGCAGTTTTGAAGTGAAGATACCCCTCCCGAGTAATCGCGAGCTCCTCGTCAGAGGTGATGTGAGGACGGGGGGGGGAGGGGGGCTATTCCTCGGCCAGGGCACGTACTTACATAGGTCACTGTAGTTCCGGACATTAAGTGGTACATAAGTTTATAGTACGAGTTTCAACCTGAAAGCCACTCACCGTGAGTCCTGCGACTGTAAGGCATCACTTATTAGTATTTAAACACGAGGAAGAACACCGCAGAGTCTCCCGACCAGAGCCATGAGTCGCTGGACCAGAGCCCAGCACTGACAGGTTATATGTTTTACACTAAAGTAGTGTGTTCAGGGCATTTGACGTTGTCACACATCCAGATCCCAATAAAGTAGACTGCCGTTGGGACCGTTTCCGTCAGTTTCCCCGCTGCGGCACTCACTTTTGGACGGTGAAGCGGACCGTGTCCTCGTTGTGGCTGGCCACCATGATGGCCAGCTTGCGCGGCTGGCCGTACTTCTTGTAGTGCTGGATGCGCCGCAGCGTCTCCAGCAGACAGCGCTCGTACATCTCCGAGGTGGCCTCGAACGTTGGGTTGATGGGGTCCTCGTAACCGAGCGAGGCGGCTCGGTAGCGCTCCTGGGGGCGCGAGCAGGCCGTCAGGCTCAGCACTGGGCCGAAGCAGCCCTGTGTCCCGGGCGGGCGGGCGGCGGCGTCACTGGGGGCCGGCGGCGGCGCAGGGCGATATGCACCGAGGTCGAGACGGTGCATGTACCAACTGGTGAGACGGATTCACGAGGCAATGGCAAAGCAACTCACCGAACGATGACCATGGAAATTTCACTTCTCATTCTTTTTTAATTGAATCCAATCGAACTTACCTGTGCCTGTGGCCAGGTCACGAATGACAATGAATATTCGCAAGGTCGGTCCCGACACTAGACAAGTAAGGTACTCATGGGACGGATAAGAACGAGAGCTTCTTTTGAAGAGAGCTGGCAGAGAGGCCGCAGTCGAGGGAGCCCAGGATACACTTAACTGTCTCCAGATCAACTCGAGAGACCTGGACGGATCACAGCGCGCTCTGTACGCCGCTCACTGCCGTGGCTTTCCCCGGCCTCCGCGCGAGCATCCCGAAGCTGATAGAAGCTTCTGTAGAAGAAAAAGTGATTGACAACATGCCCTGCCTAACATAGCTAAAACATAGTCCTCTGCTGGTGGTGCAAGAGGGCGAAAAGACTATTATGGCATCTAGAGCCTACCGTATATGTATATCTCGAATAATTGAATATATATGCCTGCTAATGGAAACCGTTGTTACTAGCGCACGCTTCAATACAGACTTGACAGATCAAGAGGTCAACATTTTGACAAATGGACATTGGACTAAAACATATTTTGCGTTGAAAGTCTTCAGAGCAGTTGAACTATCAGTATTCACGCCAGACAATGGCCTAAATTTGCATTGATTTGCATGCATTCTCATAAGCAAAAGAACAAGTTCTAAACAACAGATCGGTTCAGCAGGAAAACAAGGAAAGGAATGCTCAAGAAGAAGCAGAGCAGCGCATTCTAACGTAAGGTGAAGATACTATTGCCCATGCTGATTTATTTTGCACGGCGTAGAACGCATGACTAGGCTATTTCAGTAAGCCACAACGAAAAGTTGCATCGACATCGCACCCACATTATTTGCTAGAAAAAATGTCAAACTCTGAGCATTCACAGTGGTTTGTGATGCCTCATTACGAGAGGTGATCTGACTGCTCAGTTCAGACTTTGGTCAGTGAGCTGACTGCTCAGTTCAGAATTTGATCAGTGAGCAGTTGGCACAGCGACAACTCCCAACTGCCGAGACGCACAGAGCTCGCCGATTCCCCGCGCGACTGACAAAAGTCTACGCACGTATGTTAGCACTGGGGCAAGTTATGCCAATCACTAAATAGGGGAGCGTTTGTTGATCGACGTCGATGGTCAGTAGGCAGCTAATGTCGGTCTGTGTCAGGCAGGCGCCGGCGGGTTCGGTGGGTGGCATCAGTGGCCAACGGGTTAGCCCTCGCCAGCCCACCGCTCCCGCCCTCCCACGGAAAACAGCACACACGTCTCTGTTAGACTGTGAGGCGGCGTGTCATCGAATGATTTCATGCCAGGCATATGGAGGAAATATGTAGGCATCAAGCGGCAGAAAGAATGGAAGACAGTTGAAAGCGCATGCTGTCGGATAATATCGCCGACTGATGGCTGGGTAGTTGGTGCCTTGTTGTATGTTTATCACATAATATTCGTTACAGGCGGACAAGTGTCCAGTGAATAGGGACGCCCATAGACCACATTTTCTGTCTCTATCAAATACGAGCTATCCCAATTATCGGCGTCTATCTTGTATCTACGAGTAGCAGTCAGCTATTATCTGTTCTGTATGTCCACTTCACTTTGCGTTGCAATGAAATACAATTCGTCCTCAATGAATTTCAATGAATTCGAATTTCCTTTGTCCAAACTCTGAAGCCTGGGTTAACAAAGTTTGCTGAGCAGGTTCCGTCGTTCCAACCTCAGCCCCCGATCCATAAATGCCCAATGCACGTAACGCTAAACACCATGAAAAGTTGTTCAGCCTCTTTAATCAGCTTTGTATTACATTGGCAGCCGCTCACTAACTACCAGAAGTGAAATTGTTTTGCAAAATCAAGCAAAAAAACGTTGAATTTTCCTCCCGTTTTTAAAAAGCCGTGTGTGCCGATTGTTGACCTGGACTCGGTCTAATTGCGGCACTCCTGTCTCCTCCCCCATATCCGGTCGGGTCACCGCCACGCCCCCTCTGCGCAGCGCCGGCGGCGTTCTAATTTTACCGGCCGACGCGACGCCGCGCCGGCCGCCGCCGTATTGATCGCACCGTCACGTGGCGCAGCGGCCGGCGGGCCTGGGAGCGGCGCAGAGCCATGGAGCAGGCCCGCCGCGGCCGCCCGGCCAGCTATACAGCCAGCCGCCTCCTAATGTTGTGTAAGGCGCACAACGTGGGCAGTGGTGCAATGTCCAGTAAAAGCAAGACTCAGAAGTCCGAGTAAATGTAAACTCGGAGAGGCTAACGACGCCCCATGCCGGCGTGTGCCAGCCGACCAGTCCCGCCCACTGGGAAGGAACTGCGCAGCTATCCTGTATGCACCTACATACTGAAACTCGTGCCCAGAGCAGTAGGCGGAACTATGGTCAAGCGTACCCATTTTCGGGAACGCATTTTCGTTCCCATGTTTGGGAACGATAAACCCAAATATGGGAACGCCATGTAGGCATTATTTAAAACAAGAAAAAGAACCGTTAAATGACGTCCAAAAAATATAAAACGATCGTGAACCACCTGATATTTGTCTCAATATTGTTGAGAAAGAGTTTGATATTGTAAGGCCCATCGTAGTTTCAAATCGTTCCCCTATTTGTAAAGCAGTCCATCATCCGGGCCGCGAGCCCAAATTTGGGAACGCTCTCGTACACTGGCGCTGCAAGCGTTCCTTATTATGGGAACGGCGTACCCAAAATTGGGAACGATTTCACCGACGCCTTTCAGGGGCTCTTTTCATTAACAAGCATCACGTCCAACGCCGCAAATTATTGTTAACGCAACAATCATCAGATGACCTTTCCGGCAAGACCGTCGCATGTTTCGCCCGGTCTTCTGCGCTTTTATTCCCGTTGATCTCGCAGCGGGCACGCCCCCCTCAGCAGGATTACGTAATTCACAACGCTCAGCGATGTTCAACAAGGTCTTCCATACCTATATACACCGTCCGCGCCGAGGGTGGAGACATGTCAAGCACCTTTCTGCTTATCACCGATAGTTGACGAGCACAAGGAAGTATCCAAAAATGGGAACGCTGAATATGTTACACCCTCAAAACACCTAGTCCCAATGAAAATCTAGTTTTTTCCTTTCTTGATGAGTGTAAGTGGCAAAAGGCCTGGTAGGATGGGCACGAGGAATGATCGAAATCAGCATGAAAATTATAAATAAGCCACACAGAGCGACCTATATAAGAGAAATTCCCCCAAAACGATCACGCTTAGAAACACGGAAGACAAAAACCACGCTCATGACGCTCCTTATAAAACAACTCTAAACAGCTAGCATCCAAATAAAATATGTCTATCTGGGATGATATAATACAGCTGAATAATTTTAACCCTATTCCTGGCGGGCTCCGCCGGGACAAGAAACTGGCGGGGGGGGGCCGATTCGGCCCCCCCCCCTGAGATCTCGAGAACGAAGCAAGATAGCGACAAGCGGTAAACGGCATCGGATACGCATGGACAAGGTCTACAATTTTTACTAAGGTCATTTTCAGGTCAGGTCAAAGATGACGTCACAGGGGTCGAAAAAGTCAAAATGGCGGCGCTAGATATGGAGAGAGTTTTTCTCGAATAACTTTCGAATTAGTCAAGATATGAACAAACTTAGGGCATCATCGTGATCCTCTCGTCAATCCGCATCGAATGATATATATGTTGACCTCGAAAGGTCAAGGTCAAAGGTTGACCTCAGGTCACGTGACCTCGAGGTCATCATGTATATCATTCGATGCGTCTTGACGAGCTGAACACAATGAGACCATCCACGCGTCTGTATCTTGTTCCTGTACGGAGTTATTGGCCAAAAACCTTTGGTGACCTTTGATGACGTCACATGACCTCACAGCTGCCCAACAGCAAAACAGACCTCAAGGTAGTGAAGGTTGATCGTATATGAAGTCATGTATGGTATATGGGGCCATTCCGACCCGTTTTAGTGGTAAAAACAGGGAGTTGATTTTTCCCCCATTGACTTATAATGGGGAGGTCGCGAAACTGACCTGACCTTAGGTCACCGATATCAAAATTCCGAGATATACAAATTGCACATACTGGTACCCTAACTAAAGCCTGAAGAGAAGAAATTGATCGGTCAAAAACTCTAGCTCTGGCGTGATTGCAAACTTTTCTGAGGTAGGGTCACCAAACCGCCTCTGGTGACCTGACCTGAGGTCAGATCAACTCAAAATTTTCAGACATGTTGCGTAGAAGCCTTTTAGGAAAAGTCAGAAAATTTGAGCTTCCTAGCTCAACGCGTTTGGGAGAAATAACCAAAAAACCTCAGGGGGGGCTCCTGAGGCCCCCCCCCCGCCAGGAATAGGGTTAAACCACTGAAACTAAGTTTACAACAGTAGTTCGGTAAAATCACTGACGTTCCATGCGGTCGTGCGCCCCGACACCAAATGTCACCAATATTACCCCCGGACTGTCCGCGTGTTCGCTTGCATATGTCAGCATCTGGTGTCGCTAGTATGAAACTTCATAACCAGGCGAAAATTATTATACTTGACCTCAAAATGTAAAAACCGCTTCATTTTCCTTAAAATTGCAAGTTAAATGTAGTATAACCCATGTTTTCACCATTCCTTCATTTCAAAAAATCATTAAAAATATCATTCGACGGTCAATTTCCTTGTGCAACGGTCAGATTAAAGATAATTTTATAGAGACTTAGTAGATACTTAAATTAGCGTGCACTTTTTTGAGACGTGATGCACTAATGAGTTTTAGTGGGCAAACGGCCGAAAAATTACCTTCCGTTCCCATAAATGGGAACGCCCGTTCCCATATTTGGGAACTCCGTTCCCAAAAATGGGAACGTTCCTATATTTGGGTACTCATGACCATAGTTCCGCCTACTGAGAGCCAAACAAACGCTCCGAGGCCGAAGGACACCAGCGGCTTGGCCGCGAGCGCGCACAGCATTCCATTTTTCTTGGCAAGTTGTTAGAGAAGACAGATCGCGGCCAGCGAAAACCATGCCAGGGAAATGAGTGCAAACTTGGCTGAAACACACGGCACAGCTAGGTGAAAGGCAGTCAATGACACGTCTAACCGAAGGCTCATACTGAGCGTCAGCACGCACACGCCCACGCCACTCGCTCATCAGGCGCCCACCGGCTGACTGCCTAAGGTGCGGCGGGGGCGGCGCGGCGATACAAACCTGCGGCGCGGCGCGGCGCGACGCGGTGGGCTCAGTTACCTGCTCCATGTACGCTCCGCGCACCAGCTTGGCGCCGAAGTAGAAGTGCTGCCGGTCGGCCTGGTCCAGGTCGACCGACAGGTTGTGGTAGGCCTCCTTCAGGTAGCACTGGTACGTGTTGAACACGATCGCCTGCGGCAGCGGCGCACCTCGTCACCTGCTTTCTGCTATTGTACTAACTAGCTGCGTGCAGCACCTTTGTTGACATTCATAGAGTTATCCCTTACCTACCTACTGGTCCGATATGACCAATTGATGTATTTCTGAAATGCTGATTCATGGTAGCTATAAAAGTTCCGTACACAAATGTGCCTTTGCATTTATCGACGTCATAAAAGTAATCCAACGGAGTCCCATGGGTCTCTATAAATATCTAAACGAAATAGGTGATGACAGCCAGTTGATATAATTCACAAATCCTGAATTAATTCGAATCATTTCGAAACCATCTAAAATCGAACTTAATTATTATCTATCATTTATCTTTGCGCCAGGCTCTGTCTTCTTTGCAGCCGACTGGGGAACAGAGCATACCTACCTACCATCTCAAAGAGCCTACTTTTCAAACACATAATAGGCGCCAATGAAACTCAGACGAACAGCGCGGCCATCCGGACCAAGGTCTCAACTATACACCATCCTTCCGGGTCTGAAAAGGTCTAGTCAGACCGGAGGACCCTAAGCCCTACAAAAAAAAAACACACACACACACACAGGAGACCAGTAGCGGCGGAACACCTTCAATTAAGGGAGCGGGGGGGGGGGGGCACTGCCGACTTTTCAGTCCCATTCTTTCCATGCAACGCCCATAGGGCTTATGTTAACCCGCGCCCCGTTGGGCTCTGCCGGGCAACGCGCCCGGTTGGGGGGGCCATTTTGGCCCCCCCCCCTAAGATCTCGAGAACCACGCAACATAGCGACAAGCGGTAAACGGCGTTGGATAGCCCCAACGGGGAACTACCTTGTGACCCAATTTTATTGACCTAGGTCAAACCGATGACGTCACAGGTCAGGTCAAAGGTCCAATTTTCACCGTTTACAGGCACTCCAAGAAATGCGTTGTAAAATCGAGTAAAATGCATTTCATTGAAAATCATCGATGGGGAAATGTTCTTCAAACACATATTTTGCTATTTGAGGTCACTGATACCAGGTCAGGTCACAGAGGTCAGGTCACGGGGGGGGTCACAATATGAAAGTGTGGTGTGATACATATTTTATGGTCCATTTTACATGACAAATGCGATTATATGGGTCAGGCAGCCTTTGGGGCCAGCTTAGATCACGTTTTGGTCAAGGTCAGGTCAAGGTCAGGTCAAGGTCAGGTCATATTAGGTCAAATTTCAAAGTTAATATTTTTGCATAAAATGGGTATCGAATCGATGCAGCTCGTCACGGGGAGTTCAATGGTGGTCTTTGTTTTGCCGTACGTGGTCTAGAATCGCTAAAAATTGAGTTCAAAAATTTGACGTCATCATTTTTGAACAGTTTTTTCGCTATAACTTGGCCAAAAAACGAGATATCGATCTGAAATTTGGTATGTATATAGAAGAGCGCTGGGACTATCACATATATTCCGTTTTTTTTCGAAATTCGAAAAAAAAAATGGATTTTTTCAAAGTTTTTCTAAAAAAAATCAATTTTTTGATTTTTTTCAAAAACCAAAAATTTTGAAAATCCGAGATAGCAGTTTTGTAGCGCCGCTTTTTGTCTACTAGACCATATAAAGAACTTTGAAATTGCTTGATAACTGTAGATTTGGTGAGCGTTTCAAGATTGCATGTTTTTTGCTCATTTTTGCTCGAACATGACCTCAGTTTGACCTCAATAACTCCTGACCTAAGGTGACCTAAGACTTGAAATTTGGTGTGAAGGTGTCAAATTGATGCCCGGGAACGTACTGAAAATTTGGCGGCGCTGCGCGCCGCCGTTTTCTTGCTATTCAGGAAAAACCACAGGGGGGGGCCAAAATGGCCCACCCCAACGGGGCGAGGGTTAAAATGCCAAAATCAAAGGGGACACGGTGCCCCGGCGCCCTCCCCGTTCCGCCGCCTATGCAGGAGACGGCCGCGGCGACGGGTGTGGCGCACTCACCTTTTCCCTGTTGTATTTGCGCATCAGCTCCATAGTGAGTCGGGAGATGGCCGGCTGGAAGTAGGTCTGCTCGGCGTCCACCATCACCCGCACGTCGCACTCGCGCGCATACTGAAACACGGCCACCGCGCGCGCCCGGTCAGCACCTATACGCGGACGATCGGCGGCCCAGTGTCGGAGGCTACCCGCACACTGCACAGTGCTGGCTGACCATCATCGAATTCAGCCAGCTCTCAGTTGCAAATTTCAATGAATGAGTTATGTCGTGCCCAAATCTTTGCACAATTGTATAAAAAAAAAGCAATCACGTTTTAACAAATCAACATAGTGATCCGGTTTCTCCAGTGCAGTGGGCCCTCTTGCCCACCTTCCACTACACCGAATATCTTGCTCTCTTCAGATTGGCGCCACGCTATTTACCATCAACTCGAAGCAACCGCAATAATACAATAAATCAATGATTTGTTCGAAAATTCAAATGGCGCATATCCGCCGAGGGCAGGCGGTGCACAGCTGACTTAAGCTCCATGTGCTGGCGACTAGTTCCATGTGCTGCTAACTTTTGAAAATAGAGAAATAAATCCAGATTATTTTAATTTCACTAATTAACGTCGAAGAGTCATTGTGCGCATAGCTGGCAATGCCAATATCTCTAGGAATTCTTTAGCTAGTTTTCAGCTTATGTGCTTAATAGATAAATTATCCAAATACCTGAGACTCGTCGCTAGAAGCTCTCTGATAACAGACAGATCAGCTTTGAAGAGCTACCATTTGAAAATTAGGTGCTTTTGAGATGAGTGGTCCCAGATTGGGGCACCAGCTACCTTCTTCTACACTGAATAACTCGGAACTTTTGAAAAAGGCTGATAACGCCCTTACGTCCGACATGGGGCTCACGGCTGCCCGTTCGCTGCCGCGGCGCCCGGCCGCGTCTGCTCGAAGTGCGCCGTGTGACCCTATTTCGTCACCCCCGGGGCAGGGCACACTGACGGGCGCAGCCAGCTCACCACTCACCACAGGGCATTACATAACATGCTTGGCGAGTTTCGCCTGCTCTCGTCGTAGGAACTCGCATGCTAAATAAATAAGCACTGCCGGCGACAGTCTGTGCGGTGTACATTGCGAACATGAGGTGGCATCCGGCCAGAGCCCAATCCAGGACCCTTCCAGCGCACCACTCGTCATTACAGACAGGGGAAGGGGACGCGCCTGCTGGGTTATATTCGGCCGCCGGACACATTTTCACCTTCAGGCTGCCGAAATTTTATTTTCATTCGAAAACTTCCCAGATCATTTTATGACTGAACCATAGATGACATGAATCATGTTATCTATGACTGAGCTTAAAAATAAGTAACAATCGAGTAAAGTATGGGTGGGGGGGGGCTGTAGAGCTCCCCACCCCACCCCCCTAGTCAACCGCGTTATGGAAAATACCCCAGTTATGCGGGGGTTAACCTTCGCCCCAGTGGGGGGGGGGGCATATGTTACCACCCTGTCGCGTTTTTTGCGTGCGAATAAAAAACCGCGGCGCGTAGCGCCGCGCCGCTTGGGTTAGCTTTTAGTACATCAATTTTGGACAATGTGTGAAATTTTTGACCCCAGGTCATGTCAGGTCAGGTCACCAGGTCAAGTTAACTGACCAAGCCTAAAAAAGTTTACAATCATGTCCAGCCTGCAGTGTTTGTCAGAAACGTTTTAAACTTGGTGGATTGCATGCTGTTATGGACGCCAGGGTTGTATACCAATCAAGTCGATTGAATTGATTGATTTGATTCAACGCGTATTTTGAGTTGATTGGATTGAGTCGATTGACTTTTCGAGATGACTGGTTGACTGACTCGTTTGACTTTAGCGACTGGTTGACTGATTTGATTCCCGAAAATTAGAGTGACTCGTATGATTGAGTCGATTGAATGGAAAGTTCAAATAAGTTTTAGTTGACGAAAAATAATGACACCAATTGATGACATCAAAGATCACAAAACTACACTGAAAACTGCTTGTCATCACAACTGCAATATGGGGTAGATGGCCAAATAAAGAACAGGGCCTTAACATGAACAGCCAACTTTGACTTTCAACTGCAATAACTGCTCCAATCCTGGTGATAGAACCTGGCGATGCACCTACCTACCTTTCTGCACTCAGCAGGAAACGTTTTTTTTTAATCCAGATGAGATAAAGTGCAAGGCCCTATATACTAATAAAATGTGATTGATTAATAATTTACATCTCCACATCTCCTCAGAAACAACCCACTGAACTCTATAAAATATCTGAAACCCCTACAAAAATAACTGAAACAAAAGCGCCGTTTTCGTCTCGCTAATTACGTTTGCGTAATTAATAGCTAATTTGCTGCATTGTTTAATTTGCAGCAGAACGTTTGTTGATCCTTTTCTCTTGAGGGCCTAAGCATAACATATTAATATATTTCATTTTCCTTAAAATATTTTACCGAATATTATAAACTGGTTTTATTTCAAATAAAATAATAATTAAAACGAAATTGGTGTTGTACAGTCTGTCTTGAAAGTACCGCAGCATGGGCTGCGGCGGCCCGGCGAACTGAAGGCCGGGAGCTCGGTGGTTTGAGAGCCCCAGAGCACGTGACGGCAGTGAGCCAGGAGAGAGTGACCGGGCAGGTCGCGTGGGGTGCCGCTCTCCCTTACTCTTTCCACCCCGCTGCGGCGCCTGTCGCCCGGGGGCACGGGCCGTCTGCGAGCACGAGTGGAGAACTTGACCGGCCCGGCCGATCCCTCGGTGGCCGGGTCACCCTTGGAACCGTTTTATTCTCGACGAAAAGACAGACGAAGCCAATCTAAATGCTGAGCGCGCAAAATACTTGCATTTTTATCAGAACATGACATATATTGAACAAATGAACAATAATTTACGATCATGGAACGGAGCAAAATAAATGTAATAAAACTGATAACAATGTGAATAACAACACAGAACAATGTCAACGCAGTAGTTTGTCGAAAATCTCAGATTAACTATGGGTTTAAAAAATCTGATCGCTTTATTCAATAACTTAGGATAAAGTAATCTGTTTCGTATTTATTTATGCGAGATAAAAAGTAAAAAACTCCCATTCTCACCACCCTTGTTGAGATTGAAACACAATAGTATTTAAGCGAAAGCCAATGGAAGAAAGATAAAATGGTAACCTTTTGCTCATAACTAAAGGAAGCCAAAGCAAATCCTACACTTGGGTGTTTTGTCTTCCTTTAGTTATGTGCCAAAGATTACTATTCCATCTTATTAGAAGTATAATCATTGTCATGCAAAAAAAAAAAAAACACTAAAAGGCAAATGGCTGCTACATAAGAAACATCACAAAATAACTAACACATTATACTCCTTACTTACTATACATAAAAGTTATAGGCAAAAATTTTCATTTTACGATCGACTGGCCAAGCAATTGTTCGTAGCGCCTACTTCCAGTTAGAGGATTGATAATCGTATACCAAACACGGAGTATGCGTATTTGTGCGGCAGGTCACTGAGATTATAGGTATGAACAGCTAGCGGCATATTAATATTTCAGTTCCTGAGTGCTCACTGTTCACTGTTCAGCTCAAGATGAGAGTTGAGATCATACAAGGCTGTATGGTGTGAATTTTATTCGTTTAATGATCTATCAAAACTCCTCTCTCTCTCTCTCTCTCTCTCTCTCTCTCTCTCTCTCTCTCTCTCTCTCTTCTCTCTCTCTCTCTCCCTCCCTCCCTCCCTCTCTCTCTCTTTCTCTCTCTCTCTCTCTCTCTCTCTCTCTCTCTCTCTCTCTCTCTCTCTCTCTCTCTCTCCTCTCCTCCATAAGATGCTGAAAATTTTAGCGGACTCCAACAAATGTTGCAGAGTCTAAAATAGCTACCAAAGCAGTCCGGAAGAGTTACGTCAATCCCCGTGCCTGCAAGTGATACGTTTATGCTTATGGCAGTGCACTGGTCCGGAGTCAGAGTCGGAGTCGGAGCCGATCAGCAGGCCGAAGTCAGATTTGGAGTTGCAGTCGTAACAGCGCCGTCGCGACTCAGAACCCTTCTTTATATTTTCGGGTTCAAAGTAGCTGGCTAGATTTATTGCTTCACAAAGCAGGCTCTCTGCACACTGCTGCGTTGGGGGGGGGGGGCTGCAACGTCCCTCCACACATACCTGATATTGCATCTTTTTTAAACACTTTTGATGGCGGAAAGAATCAGACCCAGATCTTTTAAGGTCGCGTCACTTAGGTTACACTATAGTGTCCTAGCCTCAGGAAAAGTTATGATGCTCGCCGGCACTAAAAAATGCTCGAGAGGTCACCGGCTGACCTGAGATCTTAACCTTCACCAGGCGCGGATACAAGGGGGGCCATGGGGGCCATGGCCCCCCCCCCTTGGCCGATTTTTTTCAAAAATAAAATAAAAAGCTAAAAAGTTAAAAAGCTGAAAAGGGGGCCTCCTGAAAATAAAGTGGCCGAAATCCGATGAGTTTTTTTAGCCTACCACTTAGTTATTTCTTAGAAGACTAGCTGAGAAGACTTCTTTGTTAGAAGATTGGTAAAGCTTTTCATAACTTGGAGGTCTCTTATACTCACAGAGATGACCACTTTTACAGGGCCTCCTAACCTGCACAGAGGGCCTCCAAGCCTGCACAGATGTTGAGATGTTGCCTGAACAGCTAGATAAGCTCAATAGACGCAGTTTTTTTTGGGGGGGGCCAACAAGTGGGAAGATGGGGCCTCCAACAGGTGGGATTATGGGGGGGGGCCTCCTGGTTTCTAATGGCCCCTCCCTTGGAGATTTTCTGGATCCGCCCCTGACCTTCACACTTACAGGAGGAGGTTCCTCACGGCTTTTTCACGAATAACTCGCGTAAAATACGACCGACCGACCGACCACGACAAAACTTTCAATATCCTCGAATTGATCAATGTTATATCTTTCCTGAAAATGACCCTGAACCCAATGGCCTTTGACCCGTAACTTCCTTCTCGAGTCTCGACACCATGTCAGGCCAAAATGCCGATTCCGTGCATGTCAGCGCATATTATCTACGCGTTTCCAGGCATTTTGTGATTGAAACATCAGGTCCCAGCAGGTGAAATGATCAGGGCCGACCTGATCATTTCACATATCCGATCAGGAGCCGAACGGCTGTAAGGCGGGTTCCTACGGACCCGATTTCCATCAGTAGACGCTATAAGCAGCCAATACTGTCAATGTGTGTCTCGTAACCACGCACACAACTTTCTGGAAGCCCTAGCTTAATCTGAGCGAAACGACGGAGGCCGCATCCGCTGTCCTCTGGCCGGATTACAAGTGTAACACGTAAATGTCTGGCGAGGCTCGAAAGGGAAGCTTCACTTTCCATTTATCAAAACTTTCATGTCAGGAAGAGAATTACTACGCTTAGCTGGTGTCTCTGTATATCGTATTAATAAACAGCGCCTTGTCTGCCGCACTGGCAGCACCGAGAGCCCGCTCACTCGCGCCCAACCCTCTCCTCCCTCCCTCCCCTCCCACCCCCCCAGGGTCAGGCGATCCAGTGGCCCTCAAACCTGACCGCCCTCCGCTGCGCCGGCCCACCAGCGCCACCCTGCCATGCTGCGGTACTTTCAAGACAGACTGTACAACCGATTTATTTTATGATCATCTACCGTACTACATGATAATCAATGACGTCATCTTACCAAAATATCAAAAGACGTAGAATAAGGATTTCTAAAAGCTTAGCATACTTATTGGCAAAACGTTTTCATTTGTTTCTTATTTTCATTTTTTCATTGTTAACTTATCCTGTGGTTCCAGAGTCCCTGTCCTCTCCATTTCCTTTTAAATATATTTTTAATCCTCATCCCTATCCCCCAGTCCTAACAGTTTCAAATTGTATTGCAATAAAATGTTTTGAATTCTTCACATAGGTACCTAACATTGACATGCCACGTCCAGAGTCGTGGACCGCTAAATGCTTCAAATCTCTTCCTTCCCAATCTGACAACATCCCACGTCTCAAATGCACATTGTGTGGAAATATTTTTCAGGCTGCCCGTCAGTCTCTGTCTAACCGAAACCGTCACATGCATGATGCAGGTAAGATATTTATTTCTATTTCCCTATGGTTAATATGTTATTGATGCATATTACCCATTAAAATAAACATGGTGTAGGGTAAATGGCCAAATCACGAACACTGCCAAAATCCGAGCAGCCAACTTTCAACTGCAATATCTGATATTAAGTGTAAATGGAGTTGGAATATGGCCAAAATTAAACTGACAACTTTTAGGTGAAAGGTGGTGATTTGGGTTAAGGGGCGAGTCAACTACTGGGTTATTTTGCACCCATTAAATGAAACTTCTGCTCCAATTCTACCCATTGAACCTCAATATCATGATCCACCTGTCCATCACTAGGTATCCTTCCTTATTACATAGAAACTTTGAATGGCATGGCAATTTATAATTTTAAATGACAATATTTTTATATTTCTTCTGTAGGTAGGTACTAAGAAGGTAGGTAGGTACACCAGACTGCTATGGACACTTTTCCAAGTTGGTGGGGCAAAAAACCTAATGTATGTCTTGGTTTGAGTCGTTTGATTGAGTTGATTGATTCCTTTCATTGTCGCGTTTGAGTCGATTGAATCAATTCCCGAAAACTGCTGTGACTTGATTGATTTGATTGGTTTCCCAAATTTGTCGTGATTGAATTGATTGCTATTGATTGAGTTGTGTACAACCCTGATGGACGCCTACAATTTTTATATCTCGGATTTTTCTATCCTTGACCTAAGGTCAGGTAGAGGCGTGACCTTTCCATAGGAGAAAAATGAGAATGCCTCTAGATCCGCGTGTACGCATAGGAACAGTCCAAATATTTCAGAATCACAATGATTTGGACCACCCGTGATGACCGAGGTGTCATTTTTGCTGATAGCCTCTAGAAAGGTCATCCGAGGTCATTTGAGGCTACAAACAGATTTTTGCCAATAACTCGCGATTGGAAAGAGATAGAACGCTGGGAATGGTCTCCTTGTGTTTGTCTTGTTGAGACGCATCGAATGATATGCAACAATGTAAATGTGGCAAACAATGGCAATGTAAATGTCGTGGATTTTTGCAGTCGAAAGTTATTGTCGAAAAACACTTTTCGTAAAAACAGCTATTTTTGGAGTTTTTGCCCTCTGGAGGCTAAACCGTTGACCTGAGGTCAACTTTGATAATGACCTTATCAAAAGAAGAGTTCAAAAGCTACCGATTGCTTGTCCATGCGTTTTTCTAGCTACCATTGGTCCTGAGATAACGGCATGTTTTCTGAAAAATATTATGACAATTGGCAAATTTCGACCTTTGATGACCTCTGTTGACCCCAATATTGCTCTAAGATGAAAAATGACCGAAATAATTTCAAACGTACGCTTTGAGAGCTATCGACAGCTTTTTACCGCGTCTTTTTATCCCTCTTAGTTTTTGAGTTAGAGGTGGGTGGTAGCATATGCCCCCACCCATCCCCCCCCCCACTAGGGCGAAGTTGGCTGAGACCGCCACTGGGGCGCGGGTTAAGCGTTAAAGCGCATTGAGGAGAACCATTGAAGACACAAACATCGGGCAGGAGGGACGTTCCATCCTCGCATGTTTGCTTGATGTCTTTCAGTCTTCCGAAACAGCTAAAAAAACAGCCAACCTTTCGTGTAAAAACTGACAATTTGTGCCCAATAAGATTTAATGACCAAAAACGTAATTTAGGCTACTTTAAGACTTTAAGTGGCCAACTATAATTCAGGCGTTTCAAACGGGCTTACTATAAATATTTAAAGCTCGCTCAGGTAGGTATGTAATGTATCATGACGGTCGACACCCATAATTCAGGCGTTACTTTTAGAATAAAAGGCGCCACAACTTAACAAAAATGAATGCCGATTAGGACTCGCTATGACACCCCCCTCCCCCTAAAATAGGTACAATGTATATATAAATTATCACATATCTCCCAGGAATATTCTGTCGCCAGCATCTGCCGCGCCTGGCTCGTGCGCTTCTCCAGCGCGCCGCGCGGGCGGCGCGCGGTGATTGTCCGGTGCGCCGCGGTCGGTGCCCGGTGTTCTGTGTGTTCTGTGTGTTCTGTGCACGGCGGCCGAGCCCGCCCGGCCGCTCACCGAAAAGATGGTGTGCAGCCGGCGCATCATGTTCTTGAACATCTCCTCCTCGTCCTTGGTGAGCGAGGTGATGAGCGGCTCCATGCGGCCCGTAGTCAGGTTGGGCACGCGGAACAGGTCACTCATCAACGTCTTGGTGTCGATCAGGCCCGACCACGAGAACAGGTGGATCAGACTGCCGGCGCGGAACCAGTCAAACAGGTCAGAGAGGGACATAGACGGAGAGAGAGAGAGACTATTTTGATTAACTTTCCTTCCTTCATCAACCGTTGCTGAATAGAATAGGACATCGGTACGGGGACCCGCAGTTGCTACTGTACAGCGAACCTGAGTAAATTGTCCCACCACCCTCACAGGGAACAACGATAAGCTGTCAGAGGGTACGCACAGAAAACCTCAGCTGCTGTTGTACAGGGACCGGCAGACGATATCAATGTTATCTCGGTTGTTACTGGACAGGACAGACGGCTAGAGTTGGGGTACGTGTAAAGAAGCAACTGCGGGTCCCCGTACCAGGCGCATATCAATTGACCATTGACCACGAGTGTCCTGTGAATCATGAACAGAGCCTTCTGCTGGGCCCTGCGCCCCGCGTGGGGGCGTTGTCAGCAGACACACGGCAGACCCCGGCAGTGGGGGGGGGGGGGGGATCTGGGCCGGCGCGGCGGTCGGTCAGATGGGGGGGGGGGGACGTCGGGGCGGAATCGACCGGGACCGTCTGACCCCGACCGGCCCGGCTCGGGCCACCGCCACCGGAGCGCCGCGCTCCGAGGACACAGGGGGACGACACGAGGGTCAGCAGAGCGCGGTCCCACGGCGGACACAGGTCCAGTACACCGACAGTCTGCCCACGCCACCTCTGAGAGCTGCTCACACAACCACTGCAGCCTGGCGACGCTGCGGCCTCATCTTGATAGCAAAGAAAAAAGAATAGCAATGAATAGCAAAAGAATAGAAATGATAGCAAAAAGAACATCACCAAAAACAGCTGTTCGTGTATGTTTTAACAACGGCTATCTGGTACACATTTGGTTCACATTTAATGCAGATGTGGTGCAGATTTGGTCAAATTAGGTTCATTATGCTACTTTGAAGCCATCAGCTTGGGTTGAACAGTGGCTGATATACCTGCTTTTTCAAATTATCAGACATTATTTTCGCATAGCACATAAGTTTGAATGACCAGATCTCCTTGAAATTGTCAATATATAAAAAGGTAAATATTGAATATTTTTTGTATTATACAGTATACTATATAATTTTCATATAACATTTATTTAATATTTTATATATTGTTGATTGTATTATGTCGATTATCGATTTTATTATGCTCCTTGCTCAAACACTAAACACTCAACAGATTAAGACATTATTTTCGAGTAAAACACTTAAATAATTTCAAGATATGAATATATTTGTTGTACATGGGATTTGGCGCAAATTTGGTAAAGCTTGGTGAATTCGCCAGATAACCCGTCGTGAAAGCGGCTAATATGATGATGCAAGACAATGGGATAGCCATCGTACATAAAACTAAATTATTACATGGCTCGTATTAGAAGGTACAGTCACTCCCCCGCCAACAAATCAGAGACAGATCCTGAGTACCGTCAACCTGATGCTCGCAAGGGGTACTCCATTCCTTTACAGCGTAAAAGTGGCTAGCTACATTTGAAGATTATTGATAGCACTCTACACATACCGCTCAAACATTGATGTCATTGGAAAACCAATTAAATTCCTAGCGACAAAAAAGGGCAGCAATGTGCTACGAAATGGACGGTTTTGAACATATAGACGATTTTAAAACCCTCTGCAGCAGCAAGAAATCAAGTTAAAAAAAAAACACATCGAGCTAATATTTTTTTCTATGAATAAATCAATTTTCAGTAAGTTTTTAGATAAGGCATCGTTTTAATTAACAAGTTTATTACAATATTTTTATTATTTGTAGATTTATTTTAAAATTACATTTTTAAATATGGAAGCTACGAGTATTGGCAAGTAACTTGGAGGCGATTGTGGCGCGCCAAGCGCCATTGTTGTCCTGAGGCCCCCTTAGGATGTCATCAAGAGCGACATACATGAAAGAACATATTTGTGCAGTTATGACAGCTGCCTCGTTTTTATTTATTTGAACTAAGTGAATTAAATGAGCTCCTTTTTCACGCAGAGCTAAAGGATCGAAAAGGGTGATAAAATCGTCGGAAGACTAATTCCAGGAAATTTTAACATTAAAGGTGTAACGCTGGAAGACCTATCAGTACAGTAATGCTATCCTCGACGACACTGCTAAGAAGTTTTTTCTTACTGTCAAGCGCAAAGATGGAGAAAGATATAAAACAAAAAAGCTCCACTCACTGAAGTACGGAATCAAACAGTTCATCATCAATCAACTAGGAAAAGACATAAGTGAAGAGGGAAGTTTTGGGAAGTTTTCCTATGAGTATCTACGGAGGCTTTCCAAGGTCACAATGCACTTGTCCAAGAAGCATTGGGCGAGGATCAATTGACCACAACATGCCGATAAGCCGAGGCGACAGAGAAAAACTGAGTATTTACACGCAAAACTACTTCTCACCAATCAGGCTCCAGCCTGATTGTGATGTAATGTGATGAGAAATGTGTGGTGTCATAAAATACATTCATCATTGAGATTCAACCAAATTGTGTGTTATGCTGAGAGTTGACACGTTTTGTCTAGCTAGATAAATCAAGTAACCACGAATAGGTAGTTAATAGCCGTTTTCAAGACGGACTATCCGGCGAGTGCACCTAATTTGACCAAATATGCACCTAATCTCTTTTACAGCAAAAATCTTTATTTTGTGAATTTATTTCAGTGTTTTAATCGATGATACTCTCTGATAATATGACAAAGCAGCCGCATACCTATAAGCAATTAGTGCAAACCCAGCTGATAGCTACTAAGAGATACACTACACCTAATTTGACCAAATCTGCACCTAATCTGCACCAAACGTGCACAAAATGTGTACCAGATGGCCGTCGTGAAAACGGCTAGTAGTACCTACTACAGGGTGTTTCACTAAAAGTGTCAAAAAGTAAAAGGCCCTAATGCACATAATAGCAATGTTTTCTATGGACATTTGCACATCATTCCATCCGCAATTGTTGGACATTTGAATATATAATAATGATATCACCGTCATTCAAACCTATTCCACATATCCGCCGCTTCTTTTGATGCACCGTTTCGGCACGTGTCCGGAGGTGCCTCACAGCCCGTTTTCATCTTCAGCGTCCAGACTGTCGGCAAAGCCTTGCATTGTGCTCTTCAGCTCCAAAAGTGATGCGACTTAAGTCTTCCTCAGCTCTGCGACAGCTACTGACCAAAACCAAAGGCTAGCGGTGACAGATCGGGGGCTCGCGCTGGCCAGGGGCGGGCGGTGAGGCAGCTGATTATTCGGCCCGGGAACGGAACTTCTGGTCCAGCCAGTTCTTGGTGGCTAGAGCCGTTACAGTGGTTGTTTCTGATAAATTGGGGGATTGGCTATCTCTGATATTGAAATAAGCTTCTTGTTATCTTAAAAGGCCCTAAAAAAGACCCTGACCTTTTCAACGATTTCCGCCGAGAGGTGGGGGCGACCCGCCTTTTTTTTGGACTGGAACCGGCATCAAAGGAACCCTTTTAAACCTCTCAAGAAGCCCTTTGAAACTTTTATAATCTGGGTCGTAGCGAGGTGAGAGAGTGAAACGTTTCCTGAAAAGTCGGCGTACGGTTTTAATGTTTCTGATAGCACCAAATGTAAGTGTAATTCACCCCTCCTGTTGCGGTGTAAATAACCTGTTCTTGTTCTGTATAAGGAAAAAAAAACGACTAGTAACTTTGGCCTCCTGCCCTCGCTCCGTATGAGTGTAAAATATATGTTAAGTGGCCAAAGCATAAATGTCCAAAAATTTGCAACAAATCCACGTGCGCAACCACGTGCTTTGCGTCTTTTATATATCTTTAATAAGCATTTACTTTTTGACACTTTTAGTGAAACACCCTGTAGACGAGATGGGCCGTGTGAGCAGTGATAAAATGAATACTGCATGGGGTAGCGGGCAATACTCGTAAGTAAAAAGTTATTGCCATCGGTGACACACTGTAGCCCTCGGATGGAGAATGTTTCGGTCTTCACCTTCGGGCTTCAGTGACGCCACATCGGGCAATAATTTTTACTATTGCCCGCTACCCTGCATACAGTATTCATATGCTGTCAAATGCAGACACGAATACTGTTCAGCTAAAACCAAACTGCGATGGAAACGAGGTGAACAAACCAAATATCTTGAAAATGCTTGGAAACGCAATATTTCATGTCACGATTATCCACTAGCATGCCTGAAACAAATTCAGTAGTGGCAAAGTGGGCGTGTCGGTGGGGTCGGTGAAAGTTTGACAGGAAGATCCTTGAGTCAGACACCGTGCTGTGTGGTTACACGCTCCAGCAGCTATCCGCCGCCCTACGTCCTCCACTAGACATGCACATTGCACACTGACCAAGAATCGTATGCTATAGCGGCTATAGCCATTTTCACTTCAAAACTGGAGCTACCCGTGATGGCTACAATTTTCTTAGCTCGTGTATCATATAACTGTAAAATAGCTGGTAAATGACAAAACAGTTGACCCAGCGCAGTATTACTCGTATAAATGCCAGCAAACACCTGCCTCACCCAATACACTGCACAGAAACTGATCCTATAGCCCCCGAATACACAGCACAATGCCAGCGTCAGGAATGCTTAGCACGAACCGGCTGTCAACAAGGCGCTCAACTTCCTTTGTCGTGAGTGAAGCCTTTGAGTCAGTACTCTAATCGTCTTTCACTAATCATGGCCATAATGATGTAAATAATAAACCAGTTACTAAGTACAAATGCATTCAACTATTGTTCGATTCGTTGGAGGTGAGCTATGGCTAGTTTGAGCATAATTATGAATATTATGATGGTAGAAAATGACCTTATGCTCATGATACAATGAAATGATATTAAAATAAGTCCAAAAAGTATTATGATATATTTCGACTTGCGTCGTCTTCAGAATGTACATTTTCGGAATTGTCGACGAACAAATTCAAATCCTTTCAAAATAGCGTGCAACATTTTTGTGAGATCTCTGGCTAACAAATTACAGTCAGGTCATACCTATAATAAATTTTAACAGCGTATATCATAATACTTTTTGGACTTATTTTAATATCATTTCATTGTATCATGAGCATAAGGTCATTTTCTACCATCATAGCATTCAACTATATTCAAAAAGACACAATATTTCTGTATCTCTTTTCTAATATGTTTGAATACATTTGAAGTAAAATGTTTATTATTTACATAATCATCCAGCCTGTCACGGATACTCAACATCATGGCCATATGTGACGTCTTTGAGCCGTTGCTCTCTCCACCTTTTTACCATGGTCGCAAGGCTGCCCTGTATGGCCATTGCTCCCCTTATTTTTGATTTCCTTTAGCTCATTAGCGAGCTAAAGGTACTGGTTTTGGTTAAAGGTACTTTGAGCCACTATTCCGTCTCTGTTCCCCTCAACAATCTCCATGTATAATGTTTTCCGATTGAGTCACATCTCCCTTCGCTGATCCCATGTTTCCCTTTTGAGCCGCTGTCCCCCTCCCCGTGCACTGTCGCAGAGTGCCGTTTGAGGTGGAGTGTTGCGCGCTCACCCGTCCTGGTCGTAGGTGAGCCCTTTGAGCCACTGTTCGACGCCGGGGCCGCTGGTCTCCTTGAGCCGACTCTGGATCTGCTCGACGGACACGTCCTGGCTGATGACGTCCGTGGCGCGCTCACTGCCGGCCAGCTCGGCCAGGTAGCGGCGCGTCCTCATGATCACCTCGCTCAGCTGCATCTGCCGGCGGACACGTCAGAGCAGGTGACGTCACCGGCCGGCTGCTGCCAGGGCCGGCAGCAGGTGCCAGCCGTCAGCCGGGCGCCGGGCCAACACACATACCTACTACAACTTCTACGTACCGGGATCGTCTAATTTTAACGTAGCTGAACGTCAGGCCACGCAATGTGGAGGTGCTTGTACTTCCCGCCGATACACGGCTAGCACAAAACACACAAAAGTCGTGCTTGATTGGCTGCATCAAAAATGTCATACTACATAGGTGGGTTGTGGGTACACCTATGTGGTATGCAGTACTACATATAGTACCTATCGCTGGAAGCAAATCTGTCTCCAGGCATCGGTGCCTTTGAGAGTTAAACAGTGGCAGACTAGCAACGTTACCCAGTAGCAGGTCTACCTGGCATGAGTTGATGCATACCTATCAGCGAACATGATGGACAAATCCTAAAAAATTAGTGGTCAGCTGCTCTCGAATGCACATTGCACAGCCGGAACCATGTCTTTGGGCGCCCATACCATTAACAAAGCTGCCTTACCCCCAGTCTTGGAGAAATGTAGCCCGCGCCCTGATGGGGTCTGCCGAGCAGCGCGGTCTGATGGGGGGGCCATTTTGCCCCCCCCCCCCCCTAATATCTCGAGAACCACGCAACATAGCGACAAGCAGAAAACGCCGTTGAATAGCCCCAACGGGGAACTACCTTGTGACCCAATTTCATTGACCTCGGTCTAACCGATGACGTCACAGGTCAGGTCAAAGGTCGAATTTTCACCGTTTACAGGCATTTCAAGAAATGCGTTGTGAAATCGAGTAAATTGGTAAGTTATTGAAAACCATCGATGGTACTATGTTTGTCAAACACATACTTCGCTATATGAGGTCACTGATACCAGGTCAGGTCACAGAGGTCAGGTCACTAGGGGTCACAATATGAAAGCGTCGTGTGATACATGTTTTGTCTATTTTACATGACAAATGCGATTATGAGGGTCACGCAGCCTTTGGGGCCAGCTTAGGTCACGTTTTGGTGAAGGTCAGGTCAAGGTCAGGTCAAATTAGGTCAAATTTCAAAGTTGATATTTTTGCATAAAATGGGTATCGGTTCGATGCAACTCGTCAAGGGGAGTCTAATGGTGGTCTTTGTTTTGCCCTACATGGTCTAGAACTGCCAAAAATTGAGTTTGAAAATTTGACGTCATCATTTTTGAACAGTTTTTTTCGCTATAACTTGGCCAAAACAACGAGATATCGATCTGAAATTTGGTATGTAGATAGAAGACGGTAGGTACTATCACATATATTTCGTTTTTTTTTCGAAACTCAAACTTTTTGGATTTTTGGCTAATATATCCCAAAAAAAGCTTTTTTGATTTTTGGGAGTCAAAACTCAAGAATTTCAAAAATCTGAGATAGCAGTGATGTAGCCCTGTCAATTCTACACCTTTTATTTCTTATCATTAATCTGTATCTTTAACGCTGTAGGCCTGACAGCTCTTCTCACGAAAGTCTTTTTTCGGTCGAAAATGGCAGAACATGACGTCATTCTGACGTCATTTGTGGCCAACCTATCATAGCCTCTGGAATTTTTTGGTCACAATGTGTAAAATTGATGCCCGGAAAAGTCCTGAAAGTTTGGTGGCGATATCTCCAGCCGTTCAGGAGATATCGACGGAAAAGCACAGGGGGGCTGTTTCGGCCCCCGCTACGGGGCGCGGGTTAACCCGCGACCGCCTGGGGGGGGGGTCAGATCCGACCCCCCCTCCGTTTTTCTTGAATAACTAATGAACCGCTTACGCTATAAACTTGAAACTTGGCATACCTTCTTCCCCATCAATTTGATGTCTCCTGTGTGATTTTTAAGAAAATTTTGTCCAAAAAATTTTGAGATATATCGATTTTAATGATGTAACTACATGGCGTTTTCAGTCAAAAAGTGGTAAATGTTTAAGAAATCGCCAAAAATCAGGGCTTAAAGCAAATTGCAAATTAAGGACATGAATAGACGCAGCTCAACGAGTTCTTTTAAAATGGCTATCTCGGATTTTCCATTAAATGCGTTTTTCACCCCTAAAATTTAAAAACTATATTTTTTGGAAAACAGCTAATAAAATCCAAAATTTTGAAAATTTCCAAAAAAAACGGAATACATGTTATAGAGCTCTATTAGAACATTAGATGTCCCAAATTTCAACCTTCTATCTTGATTTTTGACACCCAAATTGTAAAAAAAAAGCTCCAACATGCATAGGGCATGGTGACGTCATAAACATTTTCGTGAATTACAGGCACTTCTGAACATCGCATGTGAAAACAAATGGCACCACTAGATTTCTGGAACAAAGCTCGTCTAGAAAAGTGCATTTTTATGTCAAAAATAAGAAGCTGAAAAATTGACTTTTTTCTTAGCCCTCGTTTAGTTATGTATGGTATAAACGATTTTTTATGATTTCAATGCACACTTATCACCAGCACAGTGACTTAGGGTCACATATAACCATTACCATCGGTTTCGGCGTGAAAAATAAGCCATAAAACATGTGTCGCACGCCCATGTAGCAGAAAGTAAAACCGTGACCTTTCGTGACCTGACCTGACCTTGACCCGTACTTAGTATGACCCCTATACGCACATGGTACCTTCACTAGGTCTTTGAGGTCATTTTTGGTGAGTTTCGAGCAGCAGCTATCGATTCCGCTGTCCGTAAGCCTAATCATGCAAAACCCCAGACTTTGACCTTTGACCTGACCTTGACCCGAAAGTTGACCTTAATCTTAAAATCTTTAGAGTGCTTTGGGAAGGTCTCGAAGAGACCCTTTCGAGCGCCGCCTCGCGGGGCTCGATGCGACCATTGGTTCTCGAGATAACAAGGTGGGTCGGATCCGACCCGTCCCCCAGGCTGTCGTGGCCCGTGGGTACGGAAATAGCCCAGGCGGTGCCGGGTTAAGCCTCAGCCAATCAGCATGCAGCTGGTTTTGAACTGCGCACTATGATTGGTCAACGCGTAACAAGGTTCCGCGGCAAACACTATTTTATATAGAATATAGTTCTTCCGAAATGAAAATTCAAAAAGTTAAAAAAATTCTTTTGTAAATATTTATTATTTTCTATTTTGATTAATTTAAGCATAAAAACTCAGAAAACTGTAGCAAAAAACTAGTTTGAAGAAAGTGGTATATTTCCTTCAAGGCTATGTAAACCTCCCGACGAAAAACTGGGTACACAAATGAAGTAAGTAACCGCGACTCTGGGGACGGAATAAACTCATGTTGCCATGGTATCGGGGCTAATTTGGCATGAGCATGCATCAAATAACTCATGTTTCAGCGAATTTTTTCAGAAAAAAAGCAAAAAGACTTGTCAGACCACTACTAGAATGAATTGCAGTTTTCATAAACGATTCAAGTTTTTATCAGACTGGCCTAAATAATGTATAAATCAAGTCCTAAAATGAACGGCCGTGCTGCTACAGGTTACCACTAACGCTCTGGCCCCCTAAATCGTCACTGGCTTATCAGCCAATGAGCGTCGTCGAGCATTGCCGTACGCTGATTGGTGGAATTACTGCATTTGTTGTTTAGAATGCTCACGGTGCTGACAGCGCTAGCGAAGGTGTCTCCACTTTTCGTAATGTTAAAAGCCCGGAGCGCACCCCCTGCGCACGATTTCCTTTAACAGACTGGTACTAGCGGCTGGTAACAGTTGACGAGGGCGGCCGCAGTGGTCCCCTGGGAACGCTGACTGCTTTGTACCGTGCAGCTCCATGACGGCACATTGCGGGCTGCTGGCTGCAGCCGGCGGCCCCCAGCCCCGCCATCGCCACGCCACGGCGCTGATTGGGCCGATAGCGGCATACCCGTTACTATTGTGACGGACCGGCGTCAGCTCGGCGCTCGAGTTCGCGCACCTCACAGGCCCGCACCCACACCAGTCCGGACCGGTCGGCCCAAGGACGGGGCCAGGGCTGCCGTGTGGCGTGCGGGCTGTCCTGTCACCCTCGCCGGCCATCCCGTTTCCCGCTCCCGTTTTCCGCAATCCGCATATGACTGACGGTGCCAGCTGCCGTGTTCGTAGTACCGCCCTAATAGGGGATTGCCTCATTATCAGCATATCTGAAGTGCCTGCGCGGGACCATATGACGCAAATATGTGCACCGAATGTGAAGTTCAGCTGAGTGCGGCACGCATCCGTAACGGAGTCAGTGGCTACATCAGACGGAAAAGTGGCTATCGTCTTGCGGCCTATTTAGCACTCTCGGTATACATTTTGTAGCATTTTGTATAGTTAGCTATCAAATTACACGAGGTGCTGCTCTAGCTGCGATCAGCTCGTCTTTCTCAGCTTGCGGCCGAGATGTTAACCCGCGCCCCACTGGGGTCTGTGTATAACACGCCCTACTGGGGGGGGGGGGCTATTCATAGCCCCCCCCCCCTCCTAACTCCGAAACTAATGGGCCGATCGTCAAAATTCAAACGGCGTCTGATAGCCCCGGAAAAACTGTCGAGCGAAACCTAATTTCATTGACCTCGAGGTCACCGATGACGTCACAGGTCAGGTCAAAGTAAAAATTATTAGCACTTTGGCTTGTTCACATTTTGGGCTCTGGCCGCCGTCTTACAAGTCAGATCAGGCTCATTTTTGGTTTCCACACTCGTGAACAGATGCTCTAGATACCTTGAGGGTACCAAACTTGTACTTTGATTTTCAGTTCAGGGTCAGGTCATCACAGGTCACGAAAATATTATATCATGCGTCGGTCACGTGACACATGTTTTATGGTCCATTTAGGCCATAGATTTCGAATTTGATGTCGTCTGTGCCATTCAAGGTCATTTTGAGTCGAAATTAGCTTAGGTCAGGTCACTTTCAGGTCAAAAAAGGTCAAATTTTGAAGTTGAAATTTTTCAACAAAAAAGGTGTCTATTGGATGCAGTTTGAGCTCAGGAACACGATGGTGCCATTTATATTGGTGTACGATGCCAAATACGTACTGAAAAATTGATTTGAAAAATTAATAATTGTGAATTTCTTGCAATAATGCGTATAACTTGGCCATTTTTGAAGATATTTAGCTAAAACTTGCTAGAGTTAGTCATAATCATGCGTTCTGTCACATATATTCCGGTTTTTTCGAAAAGTCAAAAACTTTTTGAAAAAAAAATATAAAAATATAAATTTTGAATATTATTATATACAATTTTCAAAATTTTCAAATTTTTGAAAATCCGAGATAGCAGTTTGATAGCGCGGTCAATTCTGAGTCCTTTCATGCAAAGAAATTGGATCTAGCTTAAAAACTTAGCTCTTGGGAGCGATTGCCGTGGTTCAATGTTCTGCGTCGAAATCGGACGAACATGACGTCACTCTGACGTCATTTCCGGCCGACCTATGGTAGCTACGAAGTTCAAATTTTGACACAAGGTGTCAAATTGATGCAGCCGAAGGCACTGAAAGTTTGGCGTCGATTCGTCAAGCGGTTTGGAAGTTATTGCAGAAAAACGGGAGGGGGGGGCTATAAATAGCCCCCCCCCCCCCCCCAGTGGGGCGCGGGTTAAACCAGTCACTATTTGACCTAAGCACGGAATGAAAACAATAACAAAAAAAAAAAACGCACAGACAAATCAAGCAAATTTTAGCGAATATTTTTGTTATTTTATCAAACAACCTGTTTGATTCCTGTTATAATTCTAAAAAACGGCTGAACCGATTGCGCTTAAACTTGGTTACGGTTAGGGACCGATGTGTTGCCATTTTCCGGTTCAGTGTGTCAATTTTACCAATTACCTGCATCTCGATGTTTGAGAGTGTCTAGAATGGCGTTCGTGCAAAACAGACGCTTTTCAATTTTCTCCCATTGCAAAGTCAATGCATTGACTTATAATGGAGAGACCGCAAAATTGACCTGGCCTTAGGTCACCGATATCAAAATGCCGAGAGGTATATTTTATAGATTAAGTTACTCTAATCAATCGCTGAGTTTCAAGGCAATCGTTCAGTCGGTGTAGCTATAACGAGTATTCTTATTTTTTCTGAGGTGAGGTCACTTGGCGTGACCTGGTGACCTGATCTTAGGCGACCTGGGTCTGAAATTTTCACAAAACATATGCGGAAAAGATGCACGAACGGTGTGCCAAAAACGGCGTTTCCATTTTTCTTTCTCAGAGCCGTTCAGTAATAGATATTCCTGAGCTGTCCGTTCCAGAAGCGGTGAACGGTACGGCAAGTAGGTACGTATCCTATAAACCCTCTATCGACCCCCCTATCCATTCATTAATCATCCTATCAACCCTCCATCGTTCCCGGTATGCATACTTCTTTAACAAATGATCTAGCGAAACAATTAGGTATTTACGGGATCGCTCGCCATGAACATGCTCATTCAGCACATATGTGAAGTGCCTCGTCACTTCTAAAAATATTTTGCATACAGTGCGACCCTTATGAGCGGACCACTGTTAGGGGAGGGGGCTATTTATTGCGTCCCCCCTCGGCCCTCGCATCTCCGAAACTAGTGGACGGATCCGCAAAATTCGAACGGTGTTTGGAATTCTATGAATAAAATGACCCATAAAACATGTGTCACACATGCTCTTTTCTATATTTCGTTTTTGGTGACCTGACCTGATCTGACCTTGACCTTGACCTTTGCATGGCATTGTATGCAACGCATACTGTCTTGGTAGCCTAAGAACACGTTTTGAGCAATCAGTCTCAGTCCATTCTTCGACAACCGGTGCAATCCGATACTGTAGAAACTGGCATTTTGTAGCCTTGACCTGACCTTGACCTGACCTCTGACCTTATTTAGCAAAAAATCGGCTCTTAAGATCCGCCTCGTTGAGAGCTTTCGATTGCCGTTTTCCCAGCCATTCTACAGCCATCGGTTCGGAAGGTAGACAGGGGGGCAGAATCTGCCCCCCCCCCCCCCAACAGGGCGCGTATGACTGAATAGCCCAGTGGGGCGCGGGTTAACACCAGCTGTGGAAGAACTTTACAGTGACACTGACTTACCAGCAGCTGTGGCCGGCCGAGGGCGGTCATTTTGATTGCTGCCAGGCCCGTGCACTGGGTGGAGCCTGCAAAACGACAACACGGCCGTCAGGTCACGCGATGTAGGTACACCGGCGCCAGGCCCACCAGGCCTCGAAATGGTCGGTACCCGTTCCGGAGGCCTTGTGTGGCGCCGCTGCCGCTCCCCGCTCCCCAGGGACAGCGGACCTTCACCATTGCACCGGTCGGGAGCACAGGGTTGGACACGAACGGCCGCTGCGACCAACCCGACAACAGACAGACTCAGGGCCTTTATTATCATCATGCAATCATCCTGACATGTAACATTACTTTTTAGGGTGATGAAATTATTTTGATATTTGAGCAATTTTTGAAACAGACCTTTTAACGTCAATTCATATTCCATGGGACACATTTTGGCGAGAGAAAAAAAAAACATGTTTCCGGTACAATAAACGGCAGCAATAAATGGTCATCTATGTATTTGTTTTTTTTTTTAACCTGGCTAAAGAATTTCATTGAGCCAACAGCCAACTTTACTGAAATTCATCTCCGAAGGTTGAGACTTTTCAATTAGACAAATAATGATAAATAAAGATAATGATAATAATGATAATAACAACATTGTAGGACTTCTAAGAAGCCAGCAAATGATTTTCAAAGTCCTAGTATGATTAGTTCATGAGCTCTGAGCCAACTTCAATAATGTCAAAATGGAGAAAGCTTGACCTTTAACGATCTCTGGGGACCTCGCCAATGACTTGAACAAAATAGTTTAAGTGATCAAGACGCTTTCTTGATAATATTTCATACTTTTTTAAAGCCGCTCACTGCGTGACGCTACATGGCCCAGGAGCCGCGAGAAATGCGGGGGGGGGGGAGCGTAAAAGCCAGCATAAAAATACTTTACCTAAGTTTGCCGCTATGAACATAACTAGCTCCCCGCAACCATATGAAATGATTGGACCACTGGCTTGGCGCGGGTTGAGCATAAATGAAGCTAAGCAAACATTAGACATTTTCGATGCTCAACAAATAACAAGTTTCTTTAACCCTCGCCGGACCTATCAGTTTTTTACACACGCTCCGGCTAAGGGGGATCAGTTTTTAGGAGAGGGGCTGTCAGTTGTTGGAAGAGTTTGTATGTACCCATATTTTTTTAGATATCGAGATTTTAGTGACGTCATGGTTTCTAATTTTTGGCCAAAAGCACCATTTATTTGAGAAAAAATAAAAACATAGGCATACAGATGCTTTGTACACGACATTTAGCTAACGATATCCCGTAAAATAAATTTCTTATCTTCGATATTCGATTTTTACACTTTTTTATTAACCGAATCGTGACCGTTTTTTGTAATAACTTCACGGTCAATGGTAATAATGCATGTATTTGTTTAAGTGGATCTTGTATATGGCCAAAAATATTATCGCATCATGAAATGGATGTCACCATCGAATTATGCGCCTAAAGTACCCATGAAATAGACGTCATATGTAGCGAATGCAAACGCTGAGTTTTGCGAAATATGTCTTTACCTGCATCCTGTTTGACCTGACATTGACCCTGACTTATGCCCGACTGACCCCTGAATGAACAGTTTCGCTGCGGTTATTGCTACTCGAGTTATGGGCACCCTCTAAAGACACCCCCTATCAAGTAGCGGGTGGCGAAATACCCCGGCTACTAAAGGATTAACCTTCGCCCCGTTGGGGGGGGGGGGTAAATAATTTTTCCAGTTGACCCAGTTGACAGTTGACAGTTGACCGGTCGACCTTGACCCGGCCGGACGTGTTTGCGGCCGCTCCGTCCGCACGCGCGGCTGGTGGAGCGAGAGCACCTGGCCAGCTAGTGTTTTTGTGTAGCGTGAGTCGCTTGTGGGTCTAACCATGACCAAAAAGCGAAAGGCGTGTTCTCCAACAGAAGGAGGACAAAGTGAGCTTTGCGAAGAGTTGAAGAAATTCATCGTGGAAGAAAACGCGAAATGTGTTCGTGAGATAAAGGCCGCGAGTGACGGACGCTTAGTGGCGATCGAGGAGTCACTGTCTTTCACAATGGACTCGATCACTGCGGTGTCTAACAGGCAGTATTCCGCTGATCTGGACATTGTCCAACTGCGTAAGGAGACAGCCCACCTCAGACGGCGAGTTCAGGAGCTGGAGCTGGTGGAGGATAAGCGACAGCAGGAGCAGAGGCTGGCGTGCCTGTTTTTCTCCGGGCCGGCGGTTCAGACGCACACCCAGCGGGACCAGGCAGTGAGACAGATTCGGTCCGTGGTGCAACAGTATCTGAACCACACTCTGGACGACAGGCAGGTCAAGACCGTCATAAGACTGCAGAATGGAAAGATACTGCTGGAGTTTACCTCCTTTGCAACAGGTTCCGACAGAGACATCCTTTACCGGTCGAAGACAAGGCTGAAGGGTTCCGGCCTCTTTATCGCCGAATCACTGACGCCACGCAGGCAAGCCATGTTTTTGGAGCTGCTGCGAATGAAGAAGGAGGGAAGGATCCATTCGGTTTTTACCCGTTCCGGAGATATCCTCGTGTGCCGGTCACGTGGATCGGCACCGATACGCATCGCTGACCCGGAGGCGGTACGCCAGCTCGCCGGCGGTGACCCACCGGAGCGCCCCGACCAGAGGCGCGCCCAGGGAGAGCGCGGAGCAGCACCGCCGTGCCCCGCCCCTAGCGGGGAGCGGAGAAGTTCGGGGCGGGCAGCGACCTCGCCTCGAAGCACCGACAACAACATGGCGGTGGAGACGCATGATCCCGTGGATACTAACAGTCCCGGTCGTCGGGGTTCGTACTCCGGGCCGTCACGTGTGGGGGCTGCTGACGGACTGGAATCAGCAGATTCCATCGGAGTGCAACGTCAGAGGACCACATCGTCGCTTCTGGAGTGCGCCCAGACACCATCAGTTCGACTGGTGCAGCTGTCTCCGCCGCTCCGTGAGGTGCCGTCTCCGGGCGCACCTGCTGAGCTGCTGACCGACGCGGCTGATGGCGGCCGCGCGCCGCGGCGGCCCCCCGCTGCCGCCGTATCGGACGCGCCCTTGGCTGTGACGTCGGAGACTGGTGGACCTGCTGGGGTGGCGCGGGATTCTGATGGGGATGGGGACCATCGAGGGGCGGCGAGTGCGAGCTCTCGGCCGGCTACAGATGTCGCCACTGTCGGGTCGAGCAGGACCGGATCGGGGCGCGGTCCTGCTGGTAAGGACCGGTCGTACGGAGCTCGTGAGGCGCACCCTGCCACTCCTGGTAACCCGGCAGCTGGTTCGCGTTCCAGAGATATCAGGGAGTATTTCTAGAGAGAAGAGTCGGGCATAATCAGTGTAATGATCGCTCTAACAGTTACCCTGTTTTGCTGTTTTTCATATTTGAACATACGCAATGTTCCCGTTCTGTTTTTCTTTATGAAATGTTTTGAGAGCAACTTATTCGATAGACTTAAGTCAGGAAAACCCGTGTTTCTTGCACTAGCTTTCATCGTAAGTGTTCTGCTTATCATGCTGTATGCGTCGCTAAATTACCGCTCGCGTACCCCTCAGCTGTGTTTGTTAACTGATTTCCTTGATATTTTTGTTAGTAACTGGCATAAACTTTCTTTGTTAAAGCGGCTTGTCGTCCAGCCTGCCGGTGGCGGGCGCGACGTTTGCGGCGGCGGCGGTGGCGGCGGCGGTGGCGGCGGCGGCGGGGTCTGCGCTGTGGCTCCTGGGCGCGGAGGTGTGGAGGGAGACAACGTGATGGGCGGTGAGAGAGTCGGCGTCGGCCCCTGGCCGAGTGCCCCTCGTGCGACCTGGATTTGTCGCTGCCGGCCTAGTCGGGTGGCCCCTCCTGCCCGTGGCCCTGTGCGCATTATATTAGTTCACGGTCAACTATTTTCTTTTGATGTATCTCCTACCGTTCATAGCAACAGCTGTCTAGCTGTGCATATCCTGGCTTATGTCCGAGCTCAAAGTTGCGACATTTAATTGTAGAGGCCTAGGAGGTCAAGTTAAAAGAAGAGACGTTGTTAATTATCTGCGAAAGAAAGATTATGATATATTGCTATTGCAAGATACACACTTGACAACACAAACAGTTCACAACTTTAACCACCTCTGGAGAGGGAAAGGTTATCATTCTTGTGGCTCATCAAACAGCCGGGGCACATCGATCCTGTTTAAATCCAACGTGCAGCATGAAATAATCCATGAAGAATATTGTAAAGACGGTAATTTTGTCATACTAGTTTGCAATATATTTCCAAACACTTACACACTCGTCAGTATCTATGGCCCAAATGATGACTGCCCTAATTTTTTCGACCAGCTCCGAATGAGGCTGAGCGAAATTGGATCGGAAAATTTATTAATCGGAGGGGATTTTAACTTTGTAATGAATTACCTACAAGACTTAAATTACTCTCAGCAGAATAACCCCCGCGCCAGAAATGTATTTGCTAGCCTCATTGAACATTTTAGTCTGTTAGACACTTGGGATGAACTTCATCCTCAAACGAGAAGTGCCACCTGGACTCGTCAAAATCCATTCAAATGGGGACGGCTAGATCGACTATATATTCAGGAACATTTGTTGAATCATGTTACGGAAGTTAACGTTCAAACAGGGTACAGATCAGACCACTGTATGGTGTCACTAAATTTGAAGCAGCCTAGAAAGAAGAGTGGTCCTGGGCTTTGGAAGTTTAATGAGTCATTAATAGACGATGACTCATACAACACCTTAGTGGTGAAGGTCATTAATAGTGTAATAAAGCAATATGCGGTTCCAATTTATAGTGATTGCTTTATATGTGATCCAAAGAACTTTAGTGCGATAGAGTTTATCATAAATGATGGGTTATTTTATGAAACCTTACTTATGATGATCCGTGGAGAAACAATACGCTTTTCAAAACAAAAAGCTAAAAGAAATAGGATAAAAGAAAAAGAAGCAACAATAGAAGTCAACAGATGCGATGCATTGTTTAAGATGAATCCATCACATGAAAACCTTCGCCGTCTAGATGATGCTAAGCAAAATCTTGAAAACATACGTAAACCTATGATTCAAGGCCTA